TTTTTGATTGCAGTAGATGCAATCTGAAATAGTGAGGACATGTAAACTTATATAGAAAAGCCACCTAAATGGTGGTGAGCTTTAAGATGCACAAACTCAAACAGTGGCATAACAGTGAAATAGTCAAATATACTTTAGAATAAATATTTTTTTTAAGAAATTTGTCCTGCATTAACAATCATCCATCTATTTTCCACTGAAATAATTTATGATTGTTAGTCTAGTAAATGATTGTCTTAAACAGGTTCCCGTAAGTATTTCTGAAAACAGTACAGAATTGATAAGAAAGCTATTCAAAGCTAACAAACAAGGAAATAGAGCGTGATCAAAATCTGACAGCTTGTGTAAACACACAAAGTTCAAAACTACTCTAATGTTTAGCCAGCTATTTTCATTTAATTATTACATTGTGTTGGCGGTTCACTCCACTGTGGTGACCCCTGATTAATGAAGGGACTAAGCTGAAAGGAAAATGAATGAATGAATGTTTTATATTTTAGATAATAATATCAGGTGACAGCAGTAAGAAACTGCAGATTTAACAAATATATGGAAACACTTTAATTAATTAAATACCAAGTAAAATATTAGTACATGATATGTTCTGTCATCATGCAAACACAAAATAATTAGTTAATAAAAATGTGCTATTTTAAAACTTTCATTTTTAAATGTGTTGATTTAAAACACTTAGAAAATATTGTAAAGGGCTAATACTTTTAGTGTCAACTGTTTAAAAATTCATTTACAATCCATAACACTTAACTTGGCATGCACACAAATTGAAGGAATATCATTAAAACTGATGACTAAACATTAAATAGCAGACCCAAACTAGCTTTTGTTGATACAATAAATTTAGTGTGATGATTTGAGCCACCACAATTGCTTAAAAATAAGTTGCCTGCTGGTCATTTTTAAAAATCTTTTCAGTGAAGTGTTGTAAAAGTATTTTTTTCTGGTGTGACATTTTTTTTGTAGCAAATAATACAAATGTGTTAATCTACTTTTATTTTTTTCTTTAAAAAAATTGCAGAACTTTCATGTTAACCTGTATTTTACACCCAGTATGTATTTGTGTTTTACACAAAACACTGACTCAGATTTTTGTATGCCCAGAAGTGAAACATTCATGAAAGGTGCAGTACTTATGTGCATGACAGCACTGTATTCCCACCGTGTCCTCACCACCAGTGAAACATTCTTATTTTATTACTTACTGCATTTCTCTGATTGAAAATGAGCTAGATCCTCAAATCCTGCAAATGTAACTAGACCCTCAAATCCTGCAAACTGCTGCATACCATCTGAAAAGACCTTTAGGAGACCTTCAGTTTCAGTTTAACCTACAGTTATTCATACGATCTCCACAAGAAAAAGAAATATGAAGTCAATTTCCCAACTTAAAAAAAACAAAAGCATTAAAAAAAAAAAAAAAACATAAGACAGAAACCGAGGGTATGACCAGCACACATTACACGTCCCTAAATGAACTGTGTCTGACAAAAACGTAAAAAGCTTTCACAAATGCCATGGCCTATAAAATTACATTTGTCCATCACAAAAACTCTCCCCGTCCCAATCAAGATGCTTCTGCAACCCACTTTTGTAAAATTACAGTTAGAGAGTAAAACTTACCGATGCAGAAAGCACACACAGCAATGCAAAAGCCAAAACCTGTTCCATGATCAACACACGTCACACTGCAATGTCCTATTTAACACCTGCATTCAAAAACTGTCTTTAATCAGAGTAACTTGACATTAAAGTTGAGCTCTGACAAACATCCGCTTCGCTCTTCTCTTTATTGTGGTAATAACAGATAATAGTTCAGACATTTTATAAATGGTGGAGTTGGGAGTGTCTTGATATCTCTAAAACCTGTGTAGGGATTGATTTTATTCAGGCTTTAAATATGCCCAGCAATAAAACAATAAAAACTCTGGAATCTGAAGAAGAGGACATGTGAAAAAATCAAGAGCTTAACAACTACAGTCCCACTGTTTATTTTTCCCCCCAATTTCTGTTTAACGGAGAGAAGATTATTTCGACACATTTAAAAAAATAATAGTTTTAATACCTCATCTCTAATAATTGATTTATTTTTATCTTTGTCATAATGACAGTAAAAAATATTTGACTAAATATTTTTTAAAGACACTTCTATACAGCTTAAAGTGACATTTAAAGACTTAACTAGGGTAATTAGGTTAACTAGGCAGGTTAGGGTAATTAGGCAAGTTATTGTATAATGATGGTTTGTTCTGTAGACTATCGAAAAAATATATAGCTTAAATGTGCTAACAATTTTTACCTTAAAATGGTGTTTAAAAAATTAAAACCTGCTTTTATTCAAGCTGAAATAAAACAAATACGACTTTCTCCAGAAGAAAAAATATTATCAGACATACTGTGAAAATTTCCTTGCTCTGTTAAACATCATTTGGGAAATATTTACAAAAGAAAAAAATAATTCAAAGGGGGGCTAATAATTCTGACGTCAACTGTATATACTGTATAATTAAGACTTGAATATTCATGTATACTCTTATCTTGGAGTAATTGATGTTGCACATTTATTTCTGAACTAGGTTTTATTTTTTGATTTTGTAATTGGCATTGTACATTTTTTATCTGAAAAATTAAGAGTTAAGTTTTTATGCATTCTTAATTCTCTTGAAATCTTTATATTCAGAAGATTATGTGGAGTTTGCAGTACATCTACACTCAACAGCCACTTTAGTAGGAACACCTGTCCAACTGCTTGTAAACATAAAATGCCTTATCAGCCAATCACATGGCAGCAACTCAATGCATTTAGGCATGTAGACATGGTCAAGATGATCTGCTGCAGTTCAAACCGAGCATCAGAATGGAGAAGAAAGGTGATTTAAGTAGCTTTGAACGTAGCATGGTTGTTGGTGCCAGATGGGCTGGTCTGAGTATTTTAGAAACTGCTGATCTACTGAGATTTTCATGCACAACCATCTCTAGGGTTTACAGAGAATGGTTAGAAAAAGAGCAAATATTCAGTGAGCGGCAGTTCTGTGGGTGCAAAAGCCTTGTTGATGCCAGAGGTCAGAGGAGAATGGCTGGACTGGTTCCAGCTGATAGAAAGACAACAGTAACTATAAAAATAACCACTTGTTACAACCTATATGCAGAAGAGCATCTCTGAACGGACAACACACTGAACCTTGAGGCGGATGGGCTACAGCAGTAGTAGACCACACAGGGTGCCACTACTGGCAGCTAAGAACAGGAAACTGAGGCTTCAATTCGCACAGGTTCACCAAAATTGGACAATAGAAGATTGGAGAAACGTTGCCTGGTCTGATGAGTCTCAATTTCTGCTGCGACATTCAGATGGTAGGGTCAGAATTTGACGTCATCCATGGATCCATCATGCCTTATATCAATGGTTCAGGCTGGTGGTGGTGGTGTAATGGACTGAAAGTGGACCCCACCTTGGAGGCCATAAGTACCAATTAAGCATCATGTCAACCCTGCAGCCTACCTGAGCAATGTTTCTGGCCATGTCCATCCCTTTATGACCACAGTGTACCCATCTTTTGATGGCGACTTCTAGCAGTATAATGCGTCATGTCATAAAGCCTGAATCATCTCAGACTGGTTTCTAGAACATGACAATGAGTTTGATGTAATCAAATGGCCTCCACAGTCACCAGGCTTCAATTCAATAGACATTGGGTAAACTAAATTGTCCATAGTGTATGAGTGTGTATGGATGTTTCCTAGAGATAGGTTGCAGCTGGAACGGCATCCGCTTGGTAAAACATATGCTGGATAAGTTGGCGGTTCATTCCACTGTGGCGACCCCAGATTAATAAAGGGACTAATAAGCCGAAAGGAAAATGAATGAATGAATAATAGTAAGTAAAATATCTTACCAGGACAGGCATTCTCATGCTGGCTAAAGACAGACAACTTTTCTAAAGTTAAAATTGATGTGGTTAAATTTTAATGTGGTTAGCTAAAAGTGGTTAGCGAAAATTGAGACAAGCTGAAAACATTGCCGTTGGTTTGTCTCTGCATGTGAATTGTATAATGTGCTTACATACATATTTCGACCTTAATTTAATAAAAAAGTTTCACATTTGCTAATCAATATTTTACTAGTATTTATCATACCTCTTCATCGTGTCGCGTTTGTTTTGGTGTAATGATTTTGATAAAGGAGGCTCAGAATAATACTGTGCAGCCTCCCCCTCCTCATCTCGCTAGAGTGGCTCTGTGTGTTTAACTCCTCAACTGTGGGTGTCGCTGTGTGTAAGCAATAGAGTAGACGCCGTGCCGAGAAAACAATACGGTAATATAAACAGGATAAGTCAAAGCGTTTAGGTTTTTCCCCTCGTTTCCAGCAGAAGTCTGTCGACTATCGTTGTTGAAAAGGTGAGCTGGCGATTTTCATGTACTGATAAAGAGAATCTATATTGTGAATCTAAATGGCGTTATAAACATCCATCTAACGTTATCGTTTTCTGTCTTTGTGTTTGATATAAAATTAAGTAACTAACGTTATATATCAATTATTAGGCTGATTTCAACGGGGTTTATCATGGGATTTAATATCAACTAGTAATTTAAGCATCAAGTAACGTTATAACCTTAGACTTTAAGGATTACTTTCAACGTTGTGCTTCTTTGTAAGGTTTTGGACTTTGCTGTAGCTGCACACCTTTAACTTAAAAGATTTAAACGCTTTTAAACATCTTAAAATAGCAATTGAATCACAATACACAAACCATGCAACATTTTGTATGTGTTCATGAGCGATTGTATTTTGCACATTGTGTAAGTTCTTGTGGTATATAGGATTCATGTAATAGAGACGATTTCCTCTATTCGACCAATCTAAATGCTTATAAATGCAAGTTTTTAAATGATTTTCCTGTTTTAAGTAAGAGAAATGCTTTAAAGCAGAACTGGATGTGTTTAGTACTTCCACTGCCTTTGTGGCACAGTTGATAAATGTAGTTATACTGCAGAAGTTCACTATCAGTCTTGTTCTGTTATCAGCACTGAACAGTGAACTCTGTTAGAGAGAGTCGTGCAGTATGTATATAACCATTTATGTTTGCATATTGTAACCACATTGAATGTTTCTATATAAAAAAAAACTGTCTGAGTATTTGTCTAATTAAATTTTATAAACTGTTTTGTGTATTTCTTTTCAGAAATGTCTCTCATCAAGCAGAATCTGCACTCAAATAATGAGGCGAACATCAACAAGCTGATCAACCTGAAGCTGACGGCCTCTTATGTGTATCTCTCTCTGGTCTGTTTAGAAATATAGTCACAACTTTTTAAATGTATATAAAAATTGATATTAATTTCTTAATGTAAAATGTTTAATGTTGTTGTGCTCTTGATGGGTTGTGGAATATTTTAAGAATACAGAATTCTATTAAATAGTTTTAACATTACATCCGTGACTCTGCTGTCTGCTTTGTCAGTAACACTTATTGTTTCTCTTTCTGTCTCATAGGGAATGTATTTTGATAGGGATGATGTGGCTCTACCCAACTTCTCCAAGTTTTTCCTGGAGCGTTCACATAAGGAGAGAGATCATGCGGAGGACCTGCTGGAGTATCAAAACACAAGAGGAGGACGAATCCTTCTTCAGACTGTTGCGGTCAGTGAGTTTAAGAATATATTTATGAATTGCAGAAAGATTTTTACTTTATTAAATGTGCATTATTGTGAAAAATTAAATTGAATTAAACAGTCTGAAGTTCTGATTGCTTTTCTAAGCATTTGCGGTTAGTTTAAATATACCTTACTTTTGAAACTTGTCTCTGATGCTAAATTTTAAAAAATATCTTTTGAAATTGTCTTGAAATTAAGAATTGTTTTTTATTCACTTGCATCTCAATCATTTTTTTTTCTAAAGTGCGTAATACAAAGTCTCATTAATAGTTAAGACCGACTTTTTTTTTCCTTCCAATTAAATTTCCTCAGTTTTTGCCTTAAAGTGAAATAACAAGAACAGAATTGCATTAACCTACAATTGTGCTTCTAAGAACTGTAAGGGCATCTGTTGTGTAAAAGGTGCTGGATAAGTTAGCCGTTTATTCTGCTGTGGTGACCCCTGATTAATAAAGGGACTAAGCTGAAGAAAAAACATGAATGAATAGGTGCATTCGACATGAAGCACGGCTGGAGCCGGTGATCAACGAGATTAGCTGAGCGCAGGCGGGGCAATGTAAAAAACGGAGCCGTCAGGCCGGACACTTCGGGGCTCAAAGTTGTGATCGCTCATCATGACTGCCGCATGGTGTGATCATGTATGTATTTATTACAATAACAGCAAAAGATTTACAGTACAGATAAAACAGAATACAGTCTCTAAAAATTTAATTCATTTTTAAACAACACAAGATTTATAAATTAAATTTAAGTAGCCTATATAACAAACGCATGAGAAATAAGGGGGAAACGACAGGACATATAAAAAGGAAATAAATATCCACAAATAGGATTAGTTTGAATAATAAAAGCATTTTCAAAACAAGCACTTTAATCTAAAAAGATTGAACAAAAGGAATAATGAGCTACATTAAGTAGAAATTTCCTAGAAATAGCAGGTACATCAATGTCACTTTTAACATTTCTGCATAAATGGCTTAACAGAAAATAAAATATTTTAATATCATCTGTTTTTATATTTAATAAAATAATTTTTTAACTTAATTTGTTAGTAAATCTTTTTATGGGTGTTGGGATCAACAATGATAATTATTTTATTGCAAGTCTGTAGGACTTTTTTTGAGTTAATACTTGGGTTATTTACTAAAGTTTGTCATTTTAAATTGTTTATGGAGCTGAATACAGTAGTCTGTGTAAAAAAAGGTTAAATATACCTGTGCAAACAATCTAGCCTTTATAACCAGATTATTTAACAAAACATGATTACAGCAGTAAAATATTTGTAGTCTTTTAATAAGCATGTGTACAAGGTAGAGATGGTATGAAAAGTTAATTGTTTATGAAATTTGTGAGACTGAATTTGTTCAATAATAAAATCGAAACGCACGTGGTTGTCATGTGGTGAACTCAATTGTGTAATATCAGTGTTGTCATCTCAGCTCCAGCAGTCGCTCTTCAGATGCTGCAATGAGCGAGCTGATGCAGCTGCTAAAGATGCTTTGAAGCAAGTTGTGAACAAATGCCAAATTCCTCCGTCAGAGATGAAACCTTTTATCAACGCTTACATTTTAAACAAGTGGCAAAAGGAATGGGATGCATTAGAAAACAATAAATTACATGAAATCCAACCTGACGTTTCACACAGAATTTTAAGACATTTTAAGAATCGATTTGATCAAGTAGTTTTTACCAGATGTCGTATTGGGCATACGAGAATAACACATGGTTTTTTGCTCCAAGGTGAAAACCCTACTCAGTGTTTGTGCTGCAAAACTCATCTTACTGTTAAACATATTTTACTGGACTGTCCTGCTTTTACTGATTCCAGAAGGACTTTTTATGAAATTAACTCTTTTAAGGACATTTTTGACAAAGTAACACCTGAAAAGATTTTAGAATTGTTATCATGTATTAACACAAAAAATCTTATTTAATTTATGTTTTATTTTGTTTGTTGATTTTTAAATTGTATATTTATTGTTGAAAGATTCCTGCCATGAAGATAGCCTTGGTTGCTGACATGGCACTAAATAAAAAATACATTACATTATTGATGCCACATGTGACAATCACGTGGCGTCGGCGCAGCATCAATCCGGACTAAATTTCTAACCGGCGTGCACCACTTTAAGACAGATTTTAATCGGTCTGCGCAGCGCTGCATTCGGATGTCATTTCAGCTGATCCTCGCATCTCTACTAGGTATAGTTTCTGAAGGAGTTGAACTCCCAGAGCTAGGTGCACCTCTGAAAGCATCTAGTGGACTCAGACACGGTGCCAAACGAGTCTACACTGTTTTTCAGCCTTCCTAAAGCACATAAAGCACAGCTACTATCTCAGTAAAATCCTTGTTTGGCATTAAGGCAAAGAAACTCAAGTCACTGGGCAGATAGAAGCCCTGCGCATGATGCAAATCCTCATCTATTGTGAAATGAATTTGACGCACAAATGAAGCGAGTAAACTCAATGTTCACACGTCTATCTACATGCGAATAGCTTGATTTATTTGTGTGAACGCAGCATTAGAATGCATTTGACCACAATAGTGTTTACCCTGGAAAAACGGTCTGTTTGAATGTGCAACAAGCGTCATGCACTTGTTATCAGAATGATAAATGCATCTTAATACAAGATGCAAACCGGGGTCTTATCTGTGGAATATCCTATGTGTTTCTGCCAACAAACTTCTGATCCATTATTTTCATCTATTTTCTTTCTGTCGTTTATCAGAAGCCCAGTCGTGATGACTGGAAAGGAGGTATTGATGCGCTCGCTTTTTCTCTGGAACATCAAAAGTCTATTAACCGATCCTTGCTGGAGGTCCATCGAGTGGCAGGAGAGCACTCTGACCCTCATGTGAGTATCCAGTATTTACATTTCGGTTTTAAAGTCTGACTTGACAACACGTTTTTTTTTATTTTTTTTTTTTATATTTGTTCAACGTATTCAAGTATTGTTTAGTGTTTTTATATAAGTGTAAATATTTTTCTGTCACACTTTTCCAGCTCTCTGACTTCCTAGAAGGTAAATTCTTCACTGACAGCCATGAAACCATCAAGACATTGGGTGACTACTTGGGCAGTCTGAGTCGCATCACGTCTTCGGACCCACACGGCAAGATGGCGGAGTATCTGTTTGACAAGCACACACTCTCATCCACTCAGATCTCATGAGTTTGCTGCAACAAATTCACGTTACCGATACGCAAATGTGGTCAACTTCTCTATTTCATTTTCACCTTTCAAGATACATTCCAGTATGAACCACATTTGACAAGTTGAATGAACGATAATCAATGCAAAAGTTAGAAAATGCTGTGAAATGTGCTTTTATCCAAACATGGTGCCCTCGTGTTAAAGCCTTAACTATCCCTTGACTGTTTACAGAATAGTTTAGGTGCCGTGTAAAACTATCTTGTCCAAAACCAGCCTGTAGGATTTTCAAATGGGGTTAAGTACAGCGCAAAAATGAAAGAGTATTTTTAGAACGCCAAAAGCTGAATTGTTTTACCTCCAAAATGGTGCTCTGTGTCAATAATGCAATAAATAAAGCAAGCATTCCAAACAAATATTGCTGATTTTTATTTATTTTTTTTCTTGAAAGTAAATACATTTTGCTTCTATACAGTATTTATGTATTTTTTTTTTTTTCGTTTACAATATTTTATTACGCCTTTTTTCATGTTTGTTTTTAAGTTGGGCGAGGCAATGGCGCAGTAGGTAGTGCTGTCGCCTCACAGCAAGATGGTTGCTGGGTCGAGCCTTGGCTCAGTTGGCGTTATGTGTGGAGTTTTCATGTTCTCCTTGCGTTCGTGTGGGTTTCCTCCGGGTGCTCCGGTTTCCCCTAACAGTCCAAAGACATGTGGTACAGGTGAATTGGGTAGGTTAAATTGTCCGTAGTGTGTGTGTGTGTGTGTGTGTGGATGTTTCCCAGAGATGGGTTGCAGCTGGAAGGGCATCCGCTGCGTAAAAACATGCTGGATAAGTTGGGGGTTGTTTCCGCTGTGGCTACTAAGCCGACAAGAAAATGAATGTTTTCAAGTTTCTATATTAAGAGCAGTTTAACAGATTTAGAGTAACTTGACACTTTGAACTTGGCGTTGTACTCATAAATCAATTGTGAAACACTGTCAAATGATTGTGTTTGTGTAAGGGTTAATGGCTAATTTATTCAAATCAAACCCAGGAGCAAATTTAACATAAGAAAATGTATAGTCAATTGTTAGTTTTAGTCAAGTACAACAGAAGTCTTTGGCATCAGTTTGCCTTATAATTTAGAGCAAATTTCTCTTTAATACAAAATACCTATGCAACTTGGTTAGCTTGTACAGTTATTAGTCTTTTCAAGTTTAATTAAATTGACTATAAACAATTAAGTTGCCCTTCACCCCCAGTAGTTTTGAACAAACAGCAAATGTCATTTGAGTGTATGAGGAAAAGTAAGAATTATTTCTGTTGGTTTGCTTTCACAGAGGCAGCTTAATTATATTAAATTAAAAGCTAAACAAGTTCTGATCTCCCAAAAACATCAAGTAACTTCACATTATACAGATCATGCAGAACTTCTTAATGACATGACCAGATAAACCAGTTTTAAAAGTGCTGATCTGCTGGTGTCTTCTCTTTTTTTCACACATACGCAGACACTGAAACTACCAGCTGTTTTAACCCATGTTGTAGGCAGTTGTGTTACCCACAGAGATAAGGACTTTGAAACCGCTGACTCATTATGTGGCGTGTTTAGATATGTAGATTGTCCTGAGGATTTTATGCTTGCATGTTATTTTGTTGTGGATCATTGTGGATCACGCTTAACTGCTCTGAATGCCTTAAAATAACTTCTTATATCAGTAGTAAATATATGGATCAAGCTGAGTACACCATTTAGCCACTTTGGATTTGCAAATGTTTCTTTGAAGTGTGATCTCTTAAACAAACCTTGGGGGAAACATTTCCATGTTTTTATTTTTTTTATTTTTTATGTGAATAGTCAATGTGTATGACATGTAGATGATAAATGGACTATTAAACTCATTGTGTGAAGAGGCAAACACTGCAATTAAATAAGAATATGCAGTTGCTTACATTTATATGGCACTTATATTAAATTCTCATTTGTTATGCTTAGCTTGTAAAAATCATGAAAGATTTCACAACAGAAAGACAGATTCCTCAACACGATGGAATTATTCACATTTTTTAAATAAAAGGTCTATAATTATAAAAGGGCAGAGGGATTTGGAGCCCTTCCTGCTGAATAGGGATCAGGTCACTATGTTACATTTGTTGAGAACATTTTCTGAATTACTGCTCCAAAAGTGGCTCTATAATATTTGGATCTGGTGCTTGTGCAGGCCATGGAAGAGGTTTAAGTTGATTTTCATGTTCATTAAACCACTCTGTCACCGGTCTTGCAGCGTGTATTGGTGCATTCTCATCCAGATACACGGTACCGCTTCCAGGATACAATGTTTGAACCACTGGGTGCACATGGTCCTCCAGAACAGTTTGGTAGTCCTTAGCAGTGACATGTCCATCTAGCACAAGTATTGGAACTAGGAAATCCCATGACATTGAAGCCCAAACCATCACAATCACACAAACAAGTTGGCTTACCCGAGTTGTTTATTCAAGATTCATAACTGAACAGCTGCTTTCAGTAATGGAATGGAAAACATCAGTGGCTGGTTGCATTAACCAATCTGACTAGTCACACAACTTAGTTATGTGGTTTGTTCTGTAGCCAATCCAAAAAAAAAAATCTTAAGGTGGCTAATAATTTTGACCTTAAAAGATTTTAAAAATGGTTAAAACTGTTTTGTTCCAGCCAAACCGAATAAATTAATAAATAAAATAAACTATTATGTTCCTAAAGCAACTTCCTCCTTTTGGATTTTCCATTGATTTTGCATTTCAGCACGACGACATAAAACAATTTGATGAGTATTGAATATGGTTACAATGTCACAAAAGCATTTTTTTTTCTATAAAAAAAATCAATTGATGTTCTTTTTGAGACTAGCCTGGTTTGAGAGGAGAGTTTCAATAAAAATCACTGTCTTCGTCAACTTCAAAATCGAGCACATGCAACTCCTCCTTTTTCTTTGTCCCTTCTTCTTCCTCATCCTCTGTGCTGCTTGGAGGATCTCTTCTGTTCCTCTTTACAGTCTGATGATATTCCTGATAGATTCCAGTCAGAGCCTGAGCAGCTTCTACAGAGACTTTCAGCTTTCCCACCACTTCCTGCTCTTCATTCGGACTGACAACTGACAAGGAGAAAAACAAACACTAAATGATGCGTGTATATTCCAAGTACATTTTCATCTCCTTCTAAAATGACTTTATTCTCCTACCATTGATTTGTTTTTCAATAACATCATTTCCAGTCAGCAGAAGTTCTCGTAAATCCAAGTAGGCATAGCCGACATCTTCACATTCTTCTTGCTCCTTCATGGGCTCACTGACCACTGTGAACTTTAGCCTGCATAAAGGAAGCTTAGAAATCTGAATATCTTTTTGTATACAAGTATTTATTTTAATTTTAACATGGAATTCTTTTCATTACATCAATATCTCTGTGTTTACCTGCCCTGGTTGGGGTCAGTGCCTTCCAGCATGGTGTAGAGGTAGTGTCTCAGTGGAGCTGCTCCCACTGAATCCACATGGATAACTGATAAGAGGACATCAGTTGTTAATTATGTGTCTCTTCAACAATATTCATACCAAATTGTAGGGTTGGTTCACCAAAAAAAGTAAATTCAGTTTGTTCTGTTTTTTAATTGCTTATCCTAATAATATTCCAATTCTCAAAGACCTTTATTTATCTTCAGAACACAAAAGAATAAATTTTAGATGAATTCAGAGAGCTCCCTCATCCTCCATAGACCACAACAGTCCCGAGACCAGTATTTCAAACTAACATCCCTTTTGTCAGATTAGACTGTGCGTTTACTATTAGCAATCCAATGCTTGCATATCATGCTATTAATGCAAACATTAACCTGATGCAGAAGGAAAAAGTAATTTTTTTCTGTGCACAAAAGTGTTCTTGGAGCTTCCTGTAATTACAGTTGCAATGTTTGACTGTTTTTGGTTCCTTTTCTTTGAACTGCATCTCTGCACAAGAAGTTTGGCCAGAGGAGAAACGGTCGTGCCCAACTGAGCCTGATTTCAAGTTTTTTTCTTCAATTTCATCAATTTGTGAAATTTTGTGATCTACATTGTAAAAGCGCTATAGAAAAAAAAAAGATAAACTGAATAGAATTGAAACCTTTTAAGACCTTTGCTGTTTATGGAGGATAAAAGACCTCTCAGATTTTGTCTAAAACTTATTTTGTGTTCTGAAGATGAAAGGTTATGAGGGTTAGAGATGACATTAGAGTGAGCAATTAATAACAGAATTTTCTTTTTTTTTTGGGTGACTTAATTTAATATAAACAAATATACAAACAAAGGTGTGCATAAGATGTACATGTGCTAGTAAAAAATCACTGTAGAGTTAAAAAATAAGCTAAAGTTAAATTTTAATATAACTTCATGTAATTGTAATTACCAAATAATTAAATGTGGAAAAGCTCTATATATTTAAATTGCACCAAACAACAACATTATTCTTATTCATTCCTTCATTAATTTTCCCTAGGCTTAGTCTCTATTTCAGAGTTGGCCTCAGTGGAATAAACCGGCAACTATTCCAGCTTGTGTTTTATACAGTGGATGCCCAGCTGCTGTTAGACACAATGCACTTAATGGAGCTACTGATGCCACTGTGAAGGATATGGTGAGGGGTGGGGAAATGTCACCTGGTCCCCCCGGGACTTAAACCAGCAACCTTCTTGCTGTAAGGTAACCGTGGCGCTCCAAAATTCTTATAAAGAAAATTATTTTACTAAAGTACAGTATACTGTACGTCTTTTTCAGAAGGCTTGGTGAACAGCATTTCACTTGGTAAGTGGTGTTTTTATTTATGCTAATCAAAACCCACTCACATCTCCTAATCAAGGTATACAATACATTTCAATTGAGAGGTTATTTTATTCTTAAAAACACTGACAATCATTTCTGATTTTTTAAATACACTGCTGCATGTTGAACGCAGGCTTTGGAAAACTCTTGACTCGTGACAGAGTCTGGCTTGAGTTTGTTTTTTTAACACAAAAGAAGAATGAAGGCTGAAGAATACTGGAAACTAGTAACCACTGACTTCAATAGTGTTTTTTTCCTACTATAGATGCCAAAGGCTTCCAGCATTCTTCAATATACCTTCTTTTGTGTTCAACGGAACAATAAAGCTTAAACTGGTTTGGAACAAGGGTAAGTAAATGACAGAATATACCTTTTTTGGTGAACTGCCCCTTTAAATTTTGTAGCTGAAGATCACCATTGAAGATCATCTCGTCAAGACACAAAGGAAAATTACCTCGTGTAAAGTTATAGTGTATTTCCTCCCCGTCTGTTGGTTTACGAAGTGACATGGGGGTTTCTGTTGTCTCCATGGGAACACCTAGAAGGCGGTACTCTACGTAGACCTGATGCACTGACTGGTCAAGTGCAATACTGGATGAAGGGTTAAAAGACAGTGAAAGGATTTCCACTCTGAGTCGGTCTCCCTGTGAAAAGCAAACACCAATTATTTAGCTGCTTGTTCAAACTACTTAATACAAATGAGTTGAATAACAAAATTTGAGATTTTTGGGGGGTAAAACTTAATTGTTTTATGTTTAAACCACTTTAACATGTTAAGTATTGATTTGTTGGGACAACATGCATGAATTGATAGTAACCATGCATTTTTGACAATGTACTGACTTTTAACATTTAGAAAATTAAATATACAAGTATTTGAGTTGACACAAGTGGCACAACAGTAAATTTATAGTGGAAATATATACCATATATAAATATATACGATCTCCTAAGTAGTGAGATTTGTTAAAACATTTGTACATTTGTAAATTAAATATTATTAATTTAAAATACTGTGTTCTACATTGAACAATTTCAAAGCGCCTTTAGAGAAAGCCATATATTTATGTCTGCAATGCTTTAGTATTTTACTAATGAGCAAATTTTACAGATGAGATGGTTAAAAAAAATAATAATTATATATATATATATGTGTGTGTGTGTGTGTGTGTGTGAACTTATTTAGATTGAGCTGTATTTATAATGTTGACAAGCACATATACGGTAACAGTGCACAGTAACTCAGCACATCTGATATTCAAGGCAATTAGCAAATGTAAGTATTGGTTGTGGTTAACATAAGTGTTTTAAATATTGGTTTAGTTTTGTTCAAAGCAATATAAAATAAGTTAAGTAAAAGTGAAAAATATGCAAAAAGCATCATTGATGATAACTGGTTGTATAAAAAGTCTGATTTTAGATGTAATTAGAAGTCATTTAAATAAGGATGTTAAGAAATGTAGGGTATAATACTTTAACACTCTGAGGTCACCAGGTCACGCTGGCATAACCAGCATATTTTTTTTCTGATCATTGCAAAAGGCGCTAGGAGTGTCCCTTGATGGGTGAACATTAGCCAGTGGGGGAGTGTCTTTTGTTTTCTCCAGTTGTGAATTATTCATGGCCATTGTCACTCCCATGAATACAACAGTTCTCACCGAAAAACTGAATTTACAAAATGTAAATCATTGTAATATTTTCTTTAATTGATAGAACAGAATAATTTTCACATAATTGTGAAGTAAATCTTTTAGCCTTCAAGACTATTTACTCAAAAGTCTTATTCAGACCCATTCAGTGTGTTATTTGCACCTTATTTCAGCTATATTTTGTTTCTCTGAAACGTACAAACCACATCTTTTTTTTTGTAAAAACCACAAACATTTACATCAATATCTCTCACATATTATTGTAGCACAGTTTGTGCTGAATAAAAAATGCATGCTGACCAATACTATGTAATACGTAGCTTAAATAAGCACACATGTCAGGGCATGTCAAAATGTCTTAGGGGCCTCAAAAACACCTCAGACCCCAGAGAGTTAATTCTGAATCTGGTTTCAGGGACAATTCTTAAATTGTTAGGTCATTCAGTCATTCTGTGGTCAAAAATTACTTATCTTGATTTTTGTTGAGCTGTACTTGATTAAATTGTAGTTGACTGGCTGTCTTGGTAATGCTTTTGGTCCAAATTACTTACACTGTTATAAGGATTTTTAACCTTTTTTTTTAACCTAAGATTTTTTTAATCTTATCAGTTTAAAATAACTTATATTGTGCTAAAACTAAAATTTGGGTAACATTAACAGATGTGTTTAATGTAATCGACTTGTGTGACCTTCACCTTTTTTTGTGGCTTTGGAGGGTGAGGAATTATGACGACATCACTTCCATTTGATTCTCTCGATTCTTCAGAGTGAAGGACGTCTACGTCACTTTGAGCTATTTTGAATATAAGAGGTAAAAAGGAGCTTGAACTCAATTTGTTTAACTTGTGTAAAAAACAGGAGACATATATAACTCACTTTTGTCTTCTGTTTCATCATCCTGTTCTTCAACTTCCTGTTTTTAGATTGATTTAAGAAGAAAACAATGACACTTTTGAACTGGGTTAGCTGACATTACATCTTCCTGTTCTATTATGTTACCTGTTCAGAGTCGCTTCTGCAGCTTCTTTGACTCCGTGGAGTGCTCGGCTCTGACACCGATGCTCTGAAGTCAGTAACAGCATTAGCATCAGGTGATTGAGTAGACATGGCAGAACTCCGGTAAGGTGGAGTTGTGGGTTTCTGGTTGGACAGTGTTGCAGGACGGTGCTTCCTTCTAACTGACCTCGATGGCTGAGCTGGAGGTTTCTGCCGATCTGAACTGGCTTCAGACACCTGAATGGATGGGGACTGATGGGATGTGATCAAATGTCGTTCAGATTTTCGAAGGGGTGTGGATTGGTGAGTGTCAGTGGCTTCACGACCAGACGGAGGCCGAAGCTGTGACTGAAATAAATGAAAGTATTACATTTAGATATTTCAGGAACACTGCAAAATGCAGTTTCCATAACTATGTAACTAAATGTAAAAGAAGAGCAGATTTGCCCCTTAGTTTTTTACAAGCCAGTCTCAAGCGCGAGCGGTTTCGCTTTCTTGCTTGTGCTCGTCCTGCGTCTATATCTGAAATAACAAACTTCTTGAGCACATGATAACAACCTGTGCTTGATTATTGACAAGCTTTTGTAACTTGATCCTGTCAAAAACTGACAAACACAAGAGTGACACACTGAAAAGAAAGGAGAATCTGGAAAAAAAGAGCACATAATTTTGTCAGCAAACATGAACAAACTGCCATGTTTACTATTATCTTCACCTAGTCTACATGTGCTGCTGAAAACTACAGACAAAGATGAGAGGTTTGCACTGACTGTGGGCTATATTTTGTGTATATTTTTATCCTAAATAAAGACTAAATGTATGCTGTGTGTAGTTTATAACATATCGGAGGCTGTAAAGGTTGGTATGTGTTCATATATGATGTATTTATTCATTATGTTATATAATTACAGACGTTACAGTAGGCTATTTCGTCATTGATCTGCAGTTATAATGAAATCCTATTCATAGAAAAGTTAGTAATAAACATTTAAACACAAGTATTTATGTATGTAAAGAGTCTGTTTTGTGAGAAGTGCTGCTCATATGATATGTGGGCGACCCGTACAGCTTTCTCGAGCGAAAATGACGTCTACTGAAACTCTCTGTCATACACCACGCCCACCAAGAGGGTACCCTTGGTAGTGGAAACACAAGCCTGATAAAGGTGACCCGCACCGACCCGAACCGTACCGTACTGTACCAGTCAGTGGAAACACGCCATTAGTACACCACTATTATAAATAAGTATGGTATTAATTTGGTTTAACTACTGGGTAAATTGCTGTAAGACATATTGACATACATATAGTTTGTAGTGTATATAATAATCATCAAAATGAAAATGTCAACGTTTGCTTGAACCATTACTTTTTTCCTGGAACACAGTTGAAAATGTTTAGAACCATGAGCTTTACTCTATAAGAGATACATTGATGCCATCTACCTGTAGATACGTAGATGAAGAGGCGCCCTCTAGTGTACCTAGGGTGATAATGGTCTGTGTTCGAACTGGCTAAAATGTGCAATGACGTTAGCCGCTTCGAACATTACAGGGGGCGCTAAACTGCGGTTTTCTCTGTGTTATTATCTATGATGTTTAACAGAGTAAATGAATGTTCACAGTATGTCTGATAATATTTTTTTTTCTTCTGGAAAAAGTCTTAATTGTTTTATTTTGGCAGTAATAAAAGCAGTTTTAAATAAATATTTAAAAAAATAATAATAATTTTAAGGTCACTAATTATCTCCTAAGCAATATATATTTCAATGGTCTACAGAACAAACCATCGTTATACAATAACTTGACTAATTACCCTGACCCGCCTAGTTAACCTAATTAACCTGGTGAAGAATTTACATGTCACTTTAATCTATCTATCTATCTATCTATCTATCTATCTATCTATCTATCTATCTATCTATCTATCTATCTATCTATCTATCTATCTATCTATCTATCTATCTATCTATCTATCTATCACACACACATGACCTTTGACCTATAACCTAAACAACAAATAAATTTTGTTGTACACTGTTTGTGTAGAGTGAATATGCATAAAGATCTAAACTAAAACATAAATAAAGAAGCAGAAAGTACTGAACTACTTTGAACTACTGAACAATTGAAACCTTTCATTCCATTATACTTCTACATACTGTATTAGAAAAATATGCTACACATTCAGTTGACCTATTATGCCCTTTTTCACTTAATGTAACATGAAATGTGTATGAATAGTAGATAGATTATAGATGATAAGTTTCTGTAGGCAGATGTTGTCATTTACAAACACTCACCCTGGGCTTTGCAATAGGTCTCTGTGACACTTCAGCACTCGGCATCATCCTTTCCTTCTCTGCTCCTTCTCTTTGTCTTGAGGGCACTTCAGGTGACTGGAAGGGGTACTTCCACCTGAGAGAGACCCTCACCATTCCCCTTGGACTTCCAGCAGGGTCTCTAAGCACATAATCACCTGGCAGCAGAGAATATCACTATAAATAATTTTTTTCTCTTATACTCATAGTAGGATTTATGTGATAGACCAAAAAGGAAAAGTGGAAATACTGACAAATTTCAAATAAATGTTTTAATATAATTGTATTATGGTATGTACACACTGATCTATATAATAATAATAATAATAATAATAATAATAATAATAATTCCTTACATTTATATAGTGCTTTTCTGGACACTCAAAGTGCTTTACACATTTTTGAGGAGAATCTCCTCATCTCAACCACCAGTGTGCAGTATCCACTTAAATGACACGACGGCAACCATATTGTGCCAGACCATACACCAGCTGATTGGTGGCGAGGAGATATGGGGATGGTTAGGAGGCCATGATGGACAGAGGCCAGTGGGCAAATTTGGCCAGGATGCCGGGGTGTAACCCCTACTCTTTTTCGAAGGACATCCTGAGATTTTTAACAATCACAGAGAGTCAGGAGCTTGGTTTAACGTCTCATCCCGAAAGATGGCGCTTACTGATCAGTATAGAGTCCCCATCAATAAACTGGCTCCTATAGATCAATGGATGTACAGAAATTTATTCCTGTGATGTCAAAGCTGTATTTTCAGCATCATATAATGCTTTAGAAATCAGTTAAATCTGTTGATTCTCAGTGTTGAAAGTATGGCCTACAATCGAAATCTTGATTAATTGAATCTTTTAACTCGATTACAATTAATGGATGACTATTTTTATTTATTATCACTGACAAGTTTTATATGCTATCTAAAGGCATCTCTGGCTTCCAATCATCGTCAATGTAGTGCAAAGTAAGGCTCAAGAATGAGTCCATTATCCTACTTGACCAGAGATCAGATGTGGCTACAAAGTGGCTGCAGAAGTAGAAATCAGCCGTAGCGTTTAACAGAGCAGGGTCAAGTGACACGTAAGGAAAGTAATTGAAAAAAACATCCTGGAAAAATTAGATCGATTACAGGTTCTGAAGGTCGATTTTGATCACTTTTCGATTAAATTGCCCAGCCCTAGTTGAAAACATTTATTTTTACTAGATTCTCTAGTAAATATAAATAACCACATGTAATTTACATGGTAATGTTCTGGGACATAATAAGCATTGTTCTCAATTAAATGCATACCCACTTAATAAAAAATAAATAAAAATTATTAAGCAGCAGAAATGTTCAAATGAAATGTTCTTGAGCACCAAATAAGCATGTTAAAATTATTTCTAAAAGTTCAGATTACTATTAGAGGATTACCTTACGTTTATATATCAAAAATAGTCATTTTGAACTGCCATATTTCAAAATATGTTGATTTAACTTCATTATTAGTGGGATTTGCCATTAGCATCCAGTCAGAACACTCAATTGCCTAGCAATGTGCATTACAGTAATCCAACCTAGAAGTCATAAAAGCATGAACTAGCTTTTCTACATCTAATACGTTTACATGGAGACCAATAATTCATTAAGACTACTTTAATTAAGAGTCTACAATGTTATAAACAGTGATTTTTGATTAATTTAATCAGATTAAGTTTTGTTTAATTGCAATACCTCTGATTGGTCTGCCTGCTGCAAGGGATCGTAGTGGAATGGGTGTCTTTGCCAAATAAGTGTGAGACGTCTGACTGTCGCCGTCATCAAACACATAGACCCACAGACTTCCCACATTCAGGTATTCTAGTACATCTGTGGTTACAGCTAACGGATAGCTTGCAGAGTCTTCAAAGACAGGATCCACACAGCATTGGATTATGGGTGTAGAATGAGGTGGTAGGTCATAAAGGCGATACGTCAGGTAGGCATCAGGGAGAAGGCCTGGCCAGCGGGTACTGAGACCTACACAGCGCTCCAAAACCACCTCAAGCTCGTTGGGTATGCCTACACCGAAATCATACATCTCCTGAAACACAAAGAACACAATCCTCTGGGGTCTGAGGTGCCAGCATGACCTGGTGACCTCAGAGTGTTAAAGTAATGTACTCTACATTTCTTAACATCCTAAATTAAATGACTAATTACACCTAAAATCAGACTTTTGATACAACCACCCAAATTTTGCTGAGTGGTTCTTTTAACAGTCAAACAAACAGCAAATTTATATCATAGGACACAGAAATTACTATGACATATAGTTTTTAGTCCACATGATGAATTCACTTTTTTCTTAAAATAAAACTATTGAATGCTTATTTCTGTTACTCCTTGAATACAGCTGGGAAAGCACTACTAAATGATTTTTCTGAAAGTTTTTGATGTTTCTTTTTTGTTTGCTACATTATTGGATGCCCCTAGTCACTGAAAATCATCTTTGTATGCAAATGAGCAGCCTGGAAAGTTTTCTACATATTCCATATCCATTTGTGCTTATTTGTTACAGCTGCTTTCCTCTCTTAAACACAAACTTTGGAAGAATTGTTGTCATTATTGATGGTAACAATCAATCTTAATTTCAAAAATAAGTTAACTTAATTCCTTCATGTTGTCCCAACACAAAATGATTGTGTGGAACCTGACATTATTTTTACAGTGTGTACCAGCTCTGCTACTCGAATCTCCAGTGTATTAATGTGACTAGTGTTGTAGTTTTGAATGTTGTTCTCCTCAATTATGTACATCACAACGAATCATTGGTAGCTCAAAGTTTTTAGGACTCCTCATTTGCAGAATTGGTAATTTTTGGGATAACTATACACTACCTTACAATATAATAGTCGTCTATCCAAATTATAGGAACTATAAATAAAAAATCGATTTCTAGTTGATCATTTGGTATCTGAAGTGGCTTATATGAAAGGCAAAGCCCTCTAGATTACGCTTTTTTTACCAAAATACAATGTGATCATGCTTTGATTTTTAATTATTTAATTAGGACAGTAAGGTCTGACTTTGCTTAAACAAAAGTCTTGTCACTTAACAGAAATAATGTCCAGTATAGAATATAAAGTCATGCTGCAGTGGAAAAATAATTAATTTTGTGTATGACTCCTATGAGCTTGGACGGCTGCATCTATACATCTCTGCAATGGCTCAAATAACTTTATATAAAGTCATCTGGAATGGCAAAGAAGGCCAGGAGCACCTTGACCTTCTTTGCTTTCAGGAACTTTGATGTGGAGGCTGAAGTATGAGGAGGAGCGCTATCCTGCTGTAGAATTTGTCCTCTCCTGTGGTTTGTAATGAAATAGGCAGCACAAATGTCTTGATACCTCAGGCTGTTGATGTGACCGTTCACTCTGCAGACATCTCGCACGCCCCCATATTGAATGTAACCCCAAACCATGATTTTTCCTTCACCAGACTTGACTGATTTCTATGAGAATCTTGGGTTCATGCAGGTTCCAATAAGTCTTCTACAGTATTTGTGATGATTATGATACAGTTCAACATAATTCCTCAAAAAAATCTACCTTCTGCCACTTTTCCAAACGATCAACTAGAAGTCAAGTTATTATTTGTTGCTCTTACAACTGAGATCAACGACACGACTTTTGTCAGGTAGAGTATGTACCTTCAAAGCTAACCAAAACACTGCATATGTGATGTGATATTTGGAAGCATTTACCTCTGGTTCCCCATGAGCCCACTCTGAGCCTCTGGTGTGTCTTACAGGAGTTCTACTTGTTACTCGTTCCATCTGAGGTTCAGTGCGTTCCACCTGAGGATGTAAACACACCCAAAACTCAAGGATTCCTATGACTTCCCCATCCACTCCTGCAGAATAAAGGATAACATTTGTTAAAAATCCTGTGGCAAATATAATTAGAATAAACAGCTACTGAAATAAAAATTTGGCAAAGGTAAAACCTACATGAGAATGATTTAAATCAAGCTGTATCTCAAGATTGCTCTGTCCCCTTATAGATCTCAACTCAGGAACAGGAATGGGCACCCTTAAATTTTTCGGAATTATCATCAATATTTAACCTGCTCCCCTCCCACCTATTTCGTTATTTTCAGATTAGACATTGTGCTTCCTCTCTGTTCTCTGAGTTTCCCTCCCTGCCTACAAAGTCTCCATGGGAAGAGGTATTTAAACTGAATGTTCATACCAGTGGGATTATTTCTAAAATATATGCAATTATTTTGTCAAAGGATAATTCTCATAACATTAAAGCTATCAGGGCCTGGGAAGAGGAACTTGATTTAGAGTTTGAAGTTGACTACTGGAGTGCAGTATTGGACAATGTGCGCACCTCCACTTTATGCGCTAGACTTAGTTTTATACAATTTAAAACGATACACAGAGCTCATCTCTCAAAGGCCAAACTTTCTAAAACGTATCCCAATGTTTCTGATATGTGCGATAAGTGTAAACTATCACCTTGTAACCTTAGTCATATGTTTGTATTTTGTCCCAAATTGCAAAATTACTGGATTACTTTCTTTAAAATTGTTTCAGATATTCTGGGGGTCAAGTTAGCTGTTTGCCCTTTAATCGCGATCTTTGGTGTTCCCTCTCAGTGTCAACCTTTAAACCGGAGACACGCTGACATTGTGGCTTTTGCATCTCTTCACGCTAGACGCAGAATACTTTTATCTTGGACCTCCCCACAACCCCCCTCTATTTCATTATGGCTCAAAGATTTGGTCTTCTTTTTAAAACTTGAGAAAATTAAATACATCATCAGAGGTAAGGGAGATTTTTTGAAAAATGGCAACAATTTATTGCATTCTTTAATTCTTTACTTAAAAACCTTAGATGGGGATTGAGTGAAGGTACATGTGTATGTATGTATATGGTTTGTTATTGTAATTTTTTTTGATATAATTTTTTTTCTGTATTTGTATTTTATTTTATTTATTATTATTTTGTTTATTTTATTTATTTATGCATTTGTAAATGTTGATTGTTTTAATTGGGGATTGTTTTGTGGATCATTATAAAATGTAAAATGCTATTTGCAAGAATAAAAATTCCGTAACAAAAAAAAGGAATGGGCACCCTTGATTTAAATGCATATTAATTGTAAAATAAAATAAAAAAAATGTACAAAAACTAAGGCCTACCTATGAGGTTGGTTCTGTTTTTCACTCGTTCACCTCTGCGCTGTAGTGCTTCCATCAACGAGATCCTCGCTCTTCCTCGTGTCAGAAATTTTACCCCTCCGAGCGCCTGATGCAGTTCAACAGCGATGAACCCACCCTGAACCATGAGCTTCTCCAGGTCAAAAGCAGAGAGAGCATATTGCGACGTGAAGCCATAATTTGGCTGACCACCTGACATTAACGAAGTTGAGAGGACTTCAAAATCTAGAAAGCCATAGGTGCAAAAAGTCGCAACCCCCTGGTGCTCTCCTGTGTCTTGTGCCATGAGTCTCAGTCCAAGTGGTGTGAATGTGGCTCCTGTGAGATGGACCTCCAGAAGGGATTCTCCTCCATGCAGATGTGTGATTATGGCACTCTCCACAGTGGGCCGCACTGAGTCTTGTTCTAGCCCTGTCCAGGTGTACTGCAGGGGTATGGCCCGCTTATTGTTTCTAGGGCTATATGCTAACTCTTTGAGCTGAGCTAAATGGAAGCAAAATAAGATGTCAACAAACTTGTGTTGTTAACCGAACAAATATCCATAGGGACAAATAAGGCTAGCAATCACATTTTTCACTTTTAAGTATTTACTATTGTACTGATATATTCATTGTATATTTTCTATAGAGAAATCAATAGCAATATCCAAAATGTGTACCACTTGTATGTGATTTACTGTACTGAATAGGCAGTTTTAGTGTAGCTCTGAAAAGTACAACCCCAAATCAGAAAAGTTAGGACAGTATGGAAACGCAAATAAACAAGGAAAGTAGAGATTTCCAAATTTACTTTGACTTGTATTTCATTGCCGACAATATGAACACAATATATTTCATGTTTTGTTTGGTCGACTTCATTTAATTAGTAAATATACATCATTTCCTGTCTTTTAGACCTGCAACACATTGCAAAAAAAGTTAAGACGAAGCAATTAAGAGCTAGCAATCAGGTAAATTGGATCAATAATGATGTGATTTGAAACAGGTGAGGTCAACAGGTGATTAATTATGATTTAGTACAAAAGCAGCAGTCTTTTAAGAGCAAAGATTGACAGATGATTGCCAGTTTGACAATAAAAATGTTAGAAAGGTATTGAAATGTTCCTCAAAGAAATATAGGAAGACATTTGTTTCAATTTCTACAGTGCATAACAGAGTTAAAAGTTTCAAGAAATCTGGAGGAATTTCATTGTGTAAAGGACAAGGGTGCAAGCCTCAGCTAAACAACTGTGATCTCCAGTCCCTCAGTCACTGAGCATTGCATCAAGAATCATGATTCATCTATAAGTAGTCATGGGCAAAGCAAGACTTCATGAAACACTCAAACAGTTAAAACAAGTATGTTGATGCATCAAAACCTTTCAAAACCCATCTCTCAGCAACACTTATTGCTCATTTTGTGTAATGCTCTAAAACAGCTTTAGCAAAGAAAGTTGCACAAATTGAAGTATTAAACCCCACACTTTAGATTTGAGGCTTCAAGTGATTTAGGCCCCTTTTACACTAGTGCGTTTTAATTTTAAAACGGCGTTTTGGATCAAAAACGATCCGCGTCCACACTAGCGTTTCACCTAGCGTTTCTAAACATATCTCCGTCCACACTACGCCACCAAAAACGTATATAACGTGATCATTCGCACACTCTGGGCATGCGCGTTCTAGTATAAACAGGAAGCATGTGTCTCGCTCGGCATTTGGTTATTGTTAGTCAACAAACGCCAGTTGAACAATGAACGCGATGGCAAAGAAAGCAAGAGAGGTATTTTTGTGGACAGACTAAACGTAACAAATAAATAACTGCACAATGGCGCCTGAAACAGACAACAGTGTAAACAACGCTCCAATTTCTGTGTGTATGTTGTTGTTTACATTACTGTCTTCCGCTAGCGTTAAAGCCATGTGTTATAGTCATGTGATAGGGACTTGACGAATAAGGGAAGGATACGCAATGACACAAAAGCCCCAATCAGGTAGCGAATCTCAGCAGTCCCGCCTCCATTTTCACATGTCTCCATTTTTCCTTATCCACACTGAAACGGAGCAGCAGCGTTTCAGAATGAAAACGGCCTCTCCAGCGTTTTCGAAACGCTCTGTTTTCGGCGTTCAAGAACTCTGGCGTAGTGTGGACGGATGGAGTAACCGTAGCAAAACTTATGCGTTTTAAAACGAAAACGCATTAGTGTAAACGGGGCCTTAGTGAGAGTTGCGGGCTAGCAAGAAGAGATAATGGGTTTGAATCCAGAGTGATTCAAACAGTCATTCGTCAGTCATCCCTATCAATAAGCAATATCACCACATGGGCTCAGGACTACCACAATACGTAGTTGCATCCATGAATGCCAGTAAAAGCTGTAAAAGATGTTCTGTGCAAAAAGAAAGCCCTATGTTAACAGTGTTCAGGAGCTTCTTTGACTGCTCTGGGCTCAGAGGTATCTGGGTTCCATCACACAGTGGAAACGTGTAACGCCACAAAAGAGTCTGTCATGGTATGGGGTTGTGTCAGTGTCCTTGACAAAGGTAACTTGCACTTCTGTGAAGGCACCAATGCTGAAAAGTACATATTAAAAGTAGAGGTTTTGGAGCAGAATATGCTGCATTCTTTTTTAGGAACGACCATGTATATTTCAACAAGACAATGCAAAACCACATTCTGCACACATTACAAAGTCCGGGCTGCGGAGGAAGAGGATACAGGTACTCGACTTGCCTGCCTGAAGTCCCGACCTGTCTCCAATGGAGAATGTGTGATACATTTTGAATAGCAAAATGTGACAACAAAGTACCCGTACTGTTGCCCAACTTATGACTTGTTTGCAGGAAGAATGGGACAAAATTACACCCGTAACACGCATTACTTGGTGCGTTCAGTCTTTAAAAGTCTTTTAAACATTGTGAAAACAAATAGAAACATTACAAAGTGGTAAACAATTTAATGTTCCAACTTTTTTTGAAATGTGTTGCAGGAATTGATGTTTATTTATGCGTTTTCCATACTGTCCCAACTTTTTCCTGATATGGGTTGCAGTAAAACACGCATACTGATCCTGCATCCCAGTGTATTGGTGTCATAGTCATTTATCAATCATTAAAACTACAAACATATTCAAAAAAAAAAAATTTTTTTTTAAGTATAATTCAGGATAAATCATTAAAATCTATTACTGTAATTTTATTATAAAATTTAAAAATAAAATATGTATTTAATGACTGTTTTAGTATTTTACTATTTTATTAATTGTTATTTTTAAACATAAAATACTGATTAAAAATGATTTTGAATCCAACATGCAAAGTAACAGCTATAAAAATCAGACTTTAAACTGTGAATTTATGTCAACTTTCCCTGGTCTCCTGTACTTTGTACATGCTGCAACAGCAGTTTTTTCTAACCTTGCAAATTGCTGATCTGAAGGCCTCTGCTTTTTAACAACTTGTCTTTTTCTTCTGCCCTCCTCCTGTTCTCCTCTCTCTCGCTTTCAGATTTTTCAAGAACTGTCGTCATCTCATTCTATAAAAGAGAACACTGTAATGGTTGGAACACAACACACCCAATATTCTCACTGCAAGCACACAAACCTGGAGATCAGCGTTAAGGCGATGCTGTAGTAATAATAAGTCTCTGGTTTTCTGGAGTTCTAAAACTGTTTCTGCATACGAGGCCTGTACTGCGGTCAAATCCCTTGATGTGTCTTCAAACTTTACATCTGTTTTCAGAAAGCGCATCACACCTTGAGTCTCCTGCTGCATTCTGAAGGCCTAAGAAACAGAAGAATGGAATGAAACAAACACTCTTTTTGTTTGGATATAAATACCCACAGCATTTAAAAACTACCTTAATCTGCAGCAAAGTCTCACTCAGATCCTCCACACTCATATCAAACTCCTGATGGACAATGAAAAGCAAAATATGGAACAAATACAAAACACTTTTCTATCGAATTGAATATACTAGTATCCATATCCATCCGTAAGAGTACCCATTCTCTTTTTCTATGTGATGTCATTTTATCTTACTTTTGTAACTGAGTCTAATTTCTCTTGCAACAATGTGACTTCCTGTCTGTGTTGCAGCACTTCTCGCTCCAAGCAGTCGTGTTTTTCTCTGAGGAACATAACCATATCTGAAAACAGAAAGTGAGGAGATGTGTGTGCATCAACAGTGAAGAAAATAAACATCAGGTGTGTTTTGAATTGTGACAGTCCAATCTGACTGCGCAACTAATACAGAAATTTGATACTGTATATGGCCATATCCTATATGAACGTGTGCATATTATTATAGTTGATATACATATTTAAACATATACACTTACTGGCCACTTTATTAGGTACACCTGTCCAACTGCTGGCGAATTTCAAAATCAGCCCATCACAAGGCAGCAACTCAATGCATTTAGGCATGTAGACATGGTCAAGATGATCTGCTGCAGTTTCAAGTGAGCATCAGAATGCGGAAGAAAGGCGATTTAAGTGACTTTGAATGTGGCATGGTTGTTAGTGCCAGACGGGCTGCTCTGAGTATTTCAGAAACTGCTGATCTACTAGGATTTTCACGCACAACTATATCTAGGGTTTACAAAAAAAGTTTGAATCACCTCAGACTGATTTCTTGAACATGAAAATGAGTTCACTGTACTAAAAAGGCCTCCACAGTCCTCCACCAGATCTCAATCCAATAGAGCAACTTTGGGATGTGGTGAAACGGGAGATTGGATCTTGGATGTGCAGCCGACAAATCTATCATGCTATAGATGCTATAGATGCTATAAATGCTACGATGTCAATATGGACCAAAATCTTTGAGGAATATTTCCAGTACCTTGTTGAATCTATGCCACGGAGGATTAAGGTGGATCTGAAGGCAAAAGTGGGTCCAACCCGGTACTGGTCAAGTGTACCTAATAAAGTGGCCGGTGAGTGTAGGTATAGTTCATTGGTTGAAAAAAATAATAACAAACTCAAGAACTTTTTACGCACTGAGGAAGGCATTGAGCTGACAAGTTTGTGGTTAGATTATGCCCCCTGGTGGAATTGACACAAACTGCTATTACACCTAAACAGTTTACTAATAACTTTGTCCCATGGCGGTGTCACACAGGGAGGTAGTAGTCATTTTGAACTGTCACTCACTGTATGTGAAATCCAAACAGGATCTTTTTTAACAGATTTGTGGTCCAGAACTGATGTTGCTATTTAATGTTCTGGCATTGCAAGACATCACTACAGGTTGGACTACAGTACCTTTATCTCGCTCCTTCTCCTTTTTAACTTGATCAATCTCATGCCTCATCTGTTCTTTCTCCTGCTCCAGTGTTTTCCTTTCACTCCTTGCTTCCTCCAGTCTTTCTTTAAGCCTCTGAAGTTCCTCTCTCCATCCTTCCTCTCTTAACTCTTCCTTTCTTTCCTCTTTTTCTTCATGTTTATCTCCTTGATGGTTCTGGATGGACATAGTGCTGTGGTGGAAACCATTGATATAAATTATTACAAAGCATATAGCTTTTACTCTAGATTTTTTCCATTTTCAGGTTCACACATTGTTTATTAGTTACTTGATTCATCCAAATCTGGCTCAAGAAGACTGCTATCCTGCTGTTTAGCTGTTTATAGATAATAGAATTGTTAAGAATGTAGAATAGCTTATAGAATAGCTGCTGCTATTTCCAAATCTGCTACATTTGCAGAGGATTTATATGAAACTTTATTAACAAAGAACTGGTTTAGTGCTGCTTTATAGCAGAATTTGAACTTATCTTATATTTGATAAACTCTGCATTATTCATTATATTATTTGCCTTGTTATTGCAGTGGATTTGCGTTGAAATAATCAGTATTATGCAGAGTATTATGCAAATAAGAATGACTTGTTTTACAGGATGGGTTTAGGGTAAAAAGACAAAGATTAAAAGCCAGTTTTATAGGTTAAATACAAGGAGGATGGGATAAAACTATATAAATAAGCACAATTTAAAAGTGCAGAAAAAGCTGGCTATTTCTCAAAGCAATGATTCCCCAAAAATAGAATTTGCTGTTAATTTATTCACCCTTCAGCTATCCAAGACGTAGGTAATTTTCTTCTAGTAGACTGTAGATACAGTACATTAAAAGATTATTTTTATTTTAGATAAAACCCTTTATTTAAAACCCATTAATAAAAAAAATCAAGACAAACAAAAATGATTCTCCTAAATGACACATTAAGATTCTATGAAGCAAAATGAACAGGCTGTGCAAGAAATGGTGCATTATTTAAAACAGGGGCGCTCAACCCCGTTCCTGGAGATCTACCTTCCGGCAGATTTCAGCTCCAACCCACACCTGAACTAATTAATTAGGACCTGAACATTATTAGAAAATTACAGGCAGGTGTGTTTGATCTGGGTTGGAGCTGAAATCTGCAGGCACAGGGTTGGTCATGACATGGGACACATGGTCAGGGTCAGGCATTTCTGTGTGGAGCTTGGATGTTCTATGCATGTTTCTTCTGGGTGATCTGGTTTCCCCCACAGTCCAAAGCAATGTGCCATAGGTGAATTTAATAAACTAAATTGGCCATATTGTATGTGTGTGAATGTGAGTGTGTATGGATGTTTCCCAGTACTGGGTCGCAGCTGGAAAGGCATCCACTGTGTGAAACAAATGCTGGATAAGTTGGTGGTTTATTCCGCTAACTGGTTCTAACTGGACCACTTTGTTTCTGGTTCAAAAAACTGGTTCAATGGTTCATTATTGCAATTTAAGCAATAATAAAGTGAAGTGATTATTGTCAAGTATGGTTAAATATCAAACCCGGAGCCGTGGGCAGCTATTGCAGGGTCCCAGGAGTAATAGGTGCCTTGCTCAAGGCCACTTTAGCTGGGAATCAAAGATGGGCGAGAGTGAAAATAACTCCAGTAATGCTGTCCCATCAGACCCATATCCCATAATTTATGCAAATATTTCTTACTGGATAATAAGTTTATCTGTGATGTTCTAAAATGCACACAAAAATAGATGGAAGGAAACACATTTGTCAGTGGCTGGTAGTCATTGATTTGAGTTTCTAATTTAAATATTGAACAAATGTTTGTCACAAAAACACATTGATCCATTTTATAAGACATGTGCTATCCCCCTGGTGGTGTATGGCTTAGTTTTGTGGCAGATTTATGCACTTTTGGAAGCTGCAAAAACGAGCCACTACCCAAGACCATTATACAGGAAGAGCCAGAATAAAATGTAAAACCACTCTATTTTCGTTTGAAAGAAGAAAGTCATATACAGGATATATATATATAGGATGGCTTGAAGGTGATTAAAATATGGGTATTTTTAATTTTGGGGGTGACCCTATGAAATACTGACCTCTCCAGAAGGGAGTCATAGCTCTTCTTCAAGAGGTTTCTCTCCCCCTCCAGGTCTAAAACCCTCTCCTGAAGCTGTAAAACAGATGATGATAATATAAGCCGGCAAACAGGAAAGCCTACAGTAAAAGTCCAAAGGTAAAACTGAATCAGTACCTCCCCCAGAGCCTGCAGTGAAAAAGTGGCCGCACTGAGCTGACCTTCGAGAGTTAGCACTCTTTGCTTCTCCTGTTTCAGCTGCTCACTCAGTTCTTCCACCTTCCCCAGCAGTGCTTCCTGGCTCTCTTTTAAAGACTTCTGGCCCTTCGGTATATTTAAAAATACACACACACACACACACACACACACACACACACCAATATTCAACGCCATTTATTAATGTTAACAGTGTAATTCTTCTAAACTTTGTGTGCTTGTGTTGAGGTTTTACTGGAACAAGAGTCTATGTAATAATTTGTATGCAGAATAAGATATGTAGCTTAAATTTATGTGAAAAAATAATAATAAATAAATGAAACTGTGGTGTATCTGATGCTTAAATCAATCTACCCTAGTTAAATTAGCATATAGCATGGGTTTTGAAGATTAGAGTGATGTCTATTTAGCGGAGACACATTTATGTGTAAAAGTAAATGGGATCTTTTTCACAAATAATATAAAAAAAATTGAAATAGAAAAGTTTAACCAGGCCCTAAAAGAATATAAGATTTTATAGTTAAACTTACCTCCTCCAGCTGATTCTCGTAAGCCTTAAAAAAGTGAAGGAGTAATAAGAATTATATACATCTTTTAATCCAGAAATATGTCACCAACACTTTCCTAGTAAACATATTTCTTTTTTTAAATTTCTTTTTTGGGGGTTTTCACCTTTATTGATAGGACAGTGGAGATATAGAGACAGGAAAGTGTGGGGAGCAGAGATAGGGGAAGGATCAGCAAAGGACCTCGAGATGGGAATCGAACTTGGGTCACTGCGGGCACCTCAATGCCACGTGTCGACACACTAACCACTAGGCTATTGGCGCTGACCTAGTAAACATATTTCTAAATGAATATATGTAGCATATTTTCTGCCATTAACTTTTTCATAAGTATTTAAAAAGTTAGTCAGCACATATGCTGTAAAGCAATGCTTAATGGTATTTTATACTATTTTTACTTTATACAGTGTACCGAAGTAATTTGAAATAACTTTATTGTTATTATTGGTAGCTTTCTGACATGCATTTCTTTACAAAATGTATAGGAATGCTCTGCCGCCTGCATGATTTAAGATCCTCTGCAGTGAATGTGTGCTGAATGTCCTCCATTTTGATGACCAAAAACTATTACTTCAATTCACTATTATCACTATCCATATCACTATTACACCAAGACTGAGAATGACTCTATGGGTTTTAGTGTCTATGCACACTACAGTGTTTTCATCACTAAACCAGTGAAGTCTAAAGCACAAGTCAAGCAATAGTTATGTCATTTAAAACTGATCATTTTTACCAATGTTTTTGGTCTGTTTAGGTTGTATAGCTCACCTCCTGAAGCCCGCCAAACTTTTCCTGAATAACCAGAAGGGCCGCACTCTTTTCAGAGAGCTGCTTCTGCAGTCTGATCACATCTACATTATCTTTTATAATAAGTCTGTAAAGAAAAACAAAAACAAATGTCACATACACACTGTGTTGACGCCATTGAGCAGTATTTGTTGGCGGAATTAAATAAAATCGTGAAGGCAGGTGCTTGATCAACTTAAACAAAATAGAGACAGAAGTAATGTTTCAACCTGACGTTTTAAACGTTAACACGTTGTGTGATCAAATTGTTTTTTTTGTGTGTGTGCTAAAGTGGCAGTGTGCTGATTCTGTTTACTTCTGAATTAAAATCATGAGCACAAATGTTAGATGTGACTGAATCAGCAATTTTACAAGTACTGTTCATTTGACTGTAATTAATAAACCTACCTGTGTCCATCCACTTGTTGTTTGCGCAGGTCTTTAACGATACCTTCGATTTCTCTCTCTTTGTCTCTGAGTGTTTCTCTTAGTGACTGAGCAGTCAACTCCAGCTCTGCCACTCTGCCCTGCTGGCTTTCTATGACTGTGGATCTGCTGAGAGAGAAAACATGCAAGAAGACGGTAAAAGCCAGATTCAGATAACGAGCAAGCAAGCTAATACATTGGTTTGGTGATTAATAGGTGTTTTAAACAGCAAATTAATAACATGGAAGCTGACCTACCATATGGACATGGATTATCAAAATGGATTTGAATCATCAAGATGGATATAAATCAAACAAGTTTAGAGTAAAGAAAGAATAAATAAAATCCTGGCAAAGCCTTTTGTGGGTAAAAGCGTATCTACATGGCTGAAGTATCTATGAATACCAGACTGCCATGAGCAGATATAATTCAAAGACATCATGATAAATCATAAGAAATTATATAAAATGGTTTCAGTGCTTACAATGTTTTTATTTAATGTAACACTACACAAATAATTTTGAATATTTTTTTCTTCACATGTATGAAGCGTAGCACTACACTGCATTTTGCAATCATGCAGACATATAAAACAACCAACAAACCTGAGTAAAGCAAGTCTGCTCATATGAAAGAGAAAGAGACAGAAAGATCCAGGGCAATAAATAGAAACATTCTTAGCTTTTTTTTTACTCATGATCCCAGCAGGCACACAATGTCATAAGACGTTCATATTAGGTTATATTAGGGTTGTGAAGTCAGTTGACCAAAATTCAATGTCTAGTCAGCGTGTAAGTACATCATTATTTTTATGCCTAATAATGACGTCAGATGACGTTGGCATTTTAGGTTGTGTTGGAAAGTGACCAAAATCCAACGTCGAGCCAACGTCATATTGATGTCAAATACTGACATTTATTCGTCAGGTATGACAACCAAAATCCAACATCTGATAGATGTCAAAGTGATAGCTGTAACATCATTAAACGTTGATATTTGGTTGATTTTAGGTTAGACATTGGGCAATGATATTGGCCTGATGTTGGGTTCTGACGTCAACTCAATTTTTAATTGCAAACAAAAGTGCAACATCCCTGTGATGTTCAATCTGGATCAATCTGACATCATGTTGACATCCTGTGTCTGCTGGGATTTATAATTATGATGATGCATGTTGACCAATATCCTTAGCATTACTTTAAACAACTGACAATTAACCACAAAAACAGAAATGCAGTTCTTTGGTTATTGTTAAAATAATATAGCATTATTGCATTCATATCAAATAATTTCATATCATATCTATTCCTTTAGACTTATGGGTGTAGTTTTTTCAATCTACCATCCATAGTATCTTAAAGCACACATCCACAGGTCAACTTACAATCGGTCCATCTCTCCTCTGGTGTCGTCCAGGGAACTGATGCCACAGCGGGCAGGAGCAGTTTGGGCAGCTCGTCTGACCCCTCCATCACCGTCTACACCTCGCCCTGAAAGATAAAAAAATAAATAAATGTCCAAGGTGCATGTCCAAAAATACACCAGTATTACAAATCTATCAAGTGTAGGCCTATTGCAATAATCAACATATCAACTTATCACACAATAGATCAGGGATGTCAAACTCAATTCCTGGAGGGCCGCAGCCCTGCACACTTTCGTTCCAACCCTAATTAAACAAACCTGATCAAACTAATTGAGTCCTTCAGGCTTGTTTGAAACCTACAGGTAAGTGTGTTGGAGCAGGGTTGGAACTAGACTGTGCAGGGCTGTGGCCCTCCAGGAATTGAGTTTGACACCCCTGCAATAGATGAACATAACCGCAATACTGTTTAGTGGACTAAAATCTGTGGATTTATGTGGAATGATTTGGAAAGCATAGTAACAAAAAAACTTAAACATGAAAGTTTTATTTAAGATTTACTTAAACTTTACAAATCAAATCCAATTTGAAAATACATACAGTAACATATTACTTTACAAAATGTATTGTAAATAAATTATATGAACATTTGAACATTATTCAGTAATATTCTTTACACACAATAATGTATATTTACACTCATTTACATAAGTAAATAAACAGACACAATGGAGAACGAAATAATCAGTGAATTTTTGTGAATTTCTGCGCACACTGCTATTTTTGTGAGCTCAAAATCGCTCATTGTTTTTACATAAAAATGAATTAAATATCTAATAATGATACTACTATTAATACAAATAATTTAATTAGCCGAGTGAGCAACCTCTGTCAACTTCTGTTAAAATGTCAGCGAGCTCAGGGAACTAAATTAGAAAGAACGACTGTTTGGAACAAGTTGTCCAAATTTGACACTGGACCAGAGTTAAAAGTGTTCGTTTTTGGGCAGTTGAATAAATAAGCTTTCAATTGATGTTTGGTTTATTATAGGGCAATATTTGTCAAAAATGTCTGAAAGTCTGGAATTTGAAAAAAAAAAAAGAGGGGGGGAAAAATCATCTTTAAAGTTGTCTAAATGGGGTATATGCAAACAGACTTTTCTATTTCAGCCTACCAGCCCAAGGGCTTATGATGAACTATCTTTCCGTCACAAAATTGCAACGTTTAAGATGTGGTTTCTTTAAATATCTGTGATTTTCATTGCTTGATAGATATGAAGTAGGTCCCAGACCCATGTTGTTTTGATATATTCACAGCATGTAATTTACAAAATATCTTCTTGAAACATAATCTTTTCATTTAACATTCTATTTATTTTTTTTATATGTGAAAGAAAAACCCACCATTTTGAAAATCTAAGGGTCACAAATCATCTCTGTTTCAAAGCTGGAGTACACCTCCTTAAAAGTCACAGTCCAAAATGGCACATTCCCACATAATGTTACAGAATCTTAATAAACTCAAGAATCGAAAAGATTTATCCCTTGACAGTCTTTATCCCTACTTGCATTATTATGCTGTTCAGTGATATAAATGGTCTTACAATGACAATAATATCACTTTCCAGAACATATGAATAATAATATAAATAATATGAAATAAAAATGTTATTTAATTTCAATTATTTTTATTAACAAGCCTACCATACCTAAAACAATACATAGTGATTTCATATTAAATCTATCTTTTTTTGGTAAGTGACTCCTCACCTGTTCGTGGCCTGATATGTGTTCTGACTCCCAGATCTAGGATGTGTTGCTTGGCTAAATTAAGTTTACTCTGTAGCGCCCCCTTCTGACTCTCTAGGGTCGCTACACGAGCCTCTAGCTCTTCAATGGTGTCCTCCAGCTCTCCGTCCCGACCAGAAGCTGATGATCCATGCTTTAACCGCAGCAGTTTAGTTGACAACCTAAACAGCCAAGACAAAGGTACTTGAGGATTTGTTAAACAAACCAATAATAATAATAATAATAATAATAATAATAATAATAATAATAATAATAATAAAACAAGTGGCAATTAGGTTTAAACATGACAACATCCAGGTTACATGAATCCACAGGATTGTTTGCTCACGCTGAGGAACTGTCATTAAAATTAGTGACAAAATATATTTTTAAGTTGGTGTGTGTTACCTGCGTAGTTTTTGCTCTTGTGTGCGGCTGTGTTGTTTGAGAAGTGTGTTTTCCTCCTGTAGTCGGTGACACTGGTCCTCCAGCTGCTCGCGTGGTACTCTGAATAATCGCTGACGATCTGTATAAATACAGAGAGACTTATAAAACAGTAATATTGTATAAGTTTTCTAAAAATTGGGCAGAAAAAATGACATTTGTGATATACAGTATAAGAATATATACACTGTAAAAATCTATTAGTTACTTTTTTAATAAAAAGTGAGTAAACATGTTGCCTTAAATGTAGGGTTGGGTACCGAAACCCGGTGCCATTATAGCACTGGTACCTTTGTAACCAGTATGTACCAGATCAAATTAGTCGCCTTTGCAGATCACTAGAGAACACTCTGGCTATTTCTCAATTTCTCAATACAAAACAAATTTTAGTACGAATTTTAGCAAATAAACACCCTTAATGTGTCTATGTATTTATCAAGATTTCATGGTGAATGTTTACTTTCACCATTTCATTTAGGGAAACCGCTTTATTTTTAGAATAAATAAGTTATAACTCTAAACTTTAATATTTAACTGGTTTAAAACACTATGCTTTCCACCTGCTCTTTTTAAAATCAGCCACAAGGACTTCTTAAGCAAGTTTTGCACTTAAGTCTGTATTGACGCATCTTCAATATCAAGAACACATCCGGGAACTTTCACGAGTCCTCCATTCTTGCGGACGTGAGTTTTACAACTGAACTTTGGCAGTCAATGATGATGTTACACAAGGACGCGAGATCTCTGAAGAAAGTGTATTGAGAAACAGCCTATATCATTCACCCAACTACACATCTGCCACCGCATTGAACTATATATCCCGTTATGCACCTCACTTACACACCAGTTCCAGATCAACCCCCCGATTACACACAGCTGAAGCTCATAAAGACTAATTACATAGACTATACAAACACTCACCACACACACACCTCTGGGCTAAGTCTTGTTACCCTGTAGTGAGCATTCTAAGCATCATACTTGTTTTCCCTTCTGTGTTGTTGACTCTTGTTTCTTTGTTTACATTGTTTCACTACGTGCCTTATAGTCGCCTGTGATATTGACCATTCTCTGGATTTCCTGGATGCTCCCATGCTGACCTTGCCTGTCTGAGGATTCTTAAATAATCCTGCAACTTTGTATCCAACCCATGTTGTTACCACCAACTTCTAACAGTTTATTTTAGTTTGGCTACAGAACAAACCAATAATGTCCATTGACTTGCATAATTAACCTAGTTAATCATTTTTAATCACATTTTAGGGTGAATATTACTATCTTACAAAATTACTTGTGATTGCTGAAATTATGAAAAAAAAATTATCAATTAATTTCACACAAGGACTAATAAATTTGCATTGGACTGCTTATTTATAATAAGAAATTATCTGGCTTATTAATTGTTTACAATCAGGACATCTTTACCTTTTATCTTGAGCACCTGTGGTTGTCTTCTCCAGCTTCTGGTGTCATGATCTGTGTCTGAAATAAAGCATATCTTCAACTGATCCCTTCATTCAACAACGTATTTGAATGAAACTAACCCTGTCAGTTCTACACACACACCTGCGAGAAGAGTTATCAGTCCAGCTCTCAAGCCCACATCCCTCACCGGGAGATCACCTGCTGTCTCATCCACTGCAAGTGACATTATGACAACAGCTCCACCTAATCACTGCCTGTATAAAGCAAGGGATTCTGAAAGTAATGTCAATAGAGAGTATGACAATTTTATGGTATTTTTCATCACACAGATAATGAATAAACAATTTATTTTTTAAATAAATTAAGAGTATCTTTAAGAGTAAATTAAAAAAATAAAATGTAAAATATAATAATTCAAATTTGAAGCCAACCCATGATCTTCCAATACTTTTTTTAGCCCTCCTGTTAATTTTTTATTCTTCTTCAAATAATTCTCAAGTGCCATTAATTGAGGAGAGTTTGATATGAATTTTAAACATTGCAGTTCCAAAAACTGATTTGTAATTACTTCATAATACATAAAAATACACAAAATAATGTCATAATATTTTACTAGTTAATTTGCAAAATACTAATATTCAGCTTAAAGTGTGTTTTAAAGGCTTAACTAGATTAAAATAATTTTGTTAACAAATATTTATTATGCAAAGATTAATTATGTATATTAATTATGTATATATATATATATATATATATATATATATATATAATTGAAGTCAGAATTATTAGCTCGCCAATTTTTTTTTCTTTTTCAAATATTTTTCAAATGATGTTTAACAAAGCGAGGAAATTTTCACAGTATGTCTAATAATATTTTTTTCTTCTGGAGAATGTCTTTTTTTTAAAAGCCATTTTAACATTTTAACAAATACAAAAAAAAAAAGTTTCAAATAGATTTATTTAAGGAAAATGAGAGTAAACAATTACAATTACAATAAAAATACACTAACCTATACAGTTACCATTAAAAAAGGCAGAAACAACAACAATAAGGTCACATAAGGGTTAAATATGTCATCATCTATCTAAAACTGTTTAAAAACACACAAATTATACAGTTTTCATGACCTCATAATAATTGTCAGATTGCATCAAATACTTCTACAATCAGATACTTGTAAAAATTAATGTCACATTTCAACTGAAGGCAAAGTTTACATATGGTGATGTCCTTTAATAACGGAAAACATTATCTGCTAAAAAACTATTTCAGTGATGCTAATGCAGATGGAAACAGTGACATGCATGACACTGCATACATAAGAATGAACGGTTAGACTTTACAATAAGACTGTATTAGTTTATGCATTTACTAATATGAACAATGAACAACACATTTATTACAATATTTATTAATATTTATTTAATGTAAGTTAATGGTAATTAAGTTGTTTATTGTTTTGTTCATGCATTAATTGGTGTTAACAAGAAAGAATAATGCATTAGTAAATATTGAACTATAATAAATGCTGTAAAAGTACTGTGCATTATTAGTTCATATTTGTAAATACATTAACAAAAGAAACCTTGTAGTAAAGTGTGACAGAATAAACTATAAAGTCACATACCTGTGCAACAGTGTGTCTTGTGCAAAGCATTGAGCTTTAGCATTGAGTGTTAATCCATCTCTGTGTTTCTCTGTCATTTCTGTTCAGCAGGTCTGTTCAGCCATCATGCCTTTCTTATACACTGCTGTCTTTCTAATATTCAGCTCGTCATCAGCAACATGAACATTTGTTTATGATTCGATGATTAGTTTCTCTCGTTCTTGGAAAGACGCTGCTTCATCAATCCAGCTTTAATCTGCTTAATCTCTTTCTGCTCCTCCTCCACTCTTGTGTTCCTGCCTGTATCAGTTACAAATCCATATGCAAGTATTGAAATTTTCTCCAAGAACAAAAAAAATCAAGCAAAAAGTTTAAAATGACTGATATGAGCAGCATATGGCTGGAAAAATCACGTCTGATGTGATTGGCTGTAGTTATAGTAACAAATAATCTGATTGGCTGTTGTGCTTGTAGTAAAGACATCAACAGGAGGTCAATGGAGAAAATCAGATTAGGATGAAAGGAAGCTTTAGTGTGTGTGTGTGTGTGTGTGTGTGTGTGTGTGTGTGTGTGTGTGTGTGTGTGTGTGTGTGTGTGTGTGTGTGCATTCATAGCGCTTCACTTTTTCCACATTTTTTTATGTGGAACAATCATATGGAAGAGCTGATTTGACAGTTGTCCAAAAGACGACCACTTACACCTTGCACAAATTGGGCAAGACCCAAAAGGTCTTTGCAAAAGTGGCTGGCTGTTCAGCATAGGCTATTAATAGTTAGGTTAAGGGTAAGAAAAGATGTACAAGTGTACAAGTGTAAATTGTGAAACAAAACCCATTCAAAAAATGTGAGTGAGATTCACAAAGAGTGGACTGCAGCTGGAGTCAGTGCTACAAAAACCACTGCACAGATGTATGCAAGACATGGGTTTCAGCTGCCACATTCCTTGTGTCAAGCCACTCTTGAACAACAGACAGCATCAGAAGCATCTCTCCTGGGCTAAAGACTGGACTGCTGCTGAGTGCTTCAAAGTTCTGTTCTCTGATAAAAGTAAATTTTGCAATTTATTTTGGAAATCAGTCTGGGAAAGAGAGAAAAGGCACATAATCTACTTTGCTTAATGTCTAGTGTAAAGTTTCCACAGTCTGTGATGATTCAAGGTGCCAAGTCATCTGCTGGTGTTGCTCCTCATTGTTGTCTGAGTTCTAAGGTCAATGCAGCCGTGTACAGGCATGTTGTACTTCATGTTTCCTAATGCTGACCAACTTTTTGGAGATGCAGATTTTGTTTCTGACTGTAAAACTAACAACAACCTAGTTCAGCACTGACATCTTGTGGACAAGCTAAGTAGTGCAAAAACTATTCACAAACACGTGAGGTGCTTGTACGTTATATGCTATTTAAAAAAATTAGGTTGTACATGTACAATTAGCAGGTTTAGCAATAACTACTAGTCGCATTTATACTATCTGCATGTTATGATTTATACAATAACCAGTTTGACTTTTCACTTAAAAAATAGCAAAAGAAAATAAGCACCAAAATTTAATAGATAATTATATAAACTGACTCCATATAGGCAACAGGATTTTGGTTTCCAACAAGTCATTAATCGACTGAATGTCGGTGGCCAGGTTCTATAGTGTAACGATGTAAACATAACCATCAATGTCTTACTTTGGAGGCTGTTTATAAGTAAATATACAAAAACTTGTGACGCCAGATTTCGTTTCCAAACAAGCAGATTTTGTTTGTTGGTTTTTTTAGGCCTATAATGAGCAGTGTTTACTTATGTGTGTTTGCTTACACTATTAAATTCACAGGATACCTTAATACGTTATAAGTCAAAAGATAAAGGCACATGTTTTTAATATCTAAAAAAATGTATTATAGTAATATTAATAATAATAGCATTGTAATCAATATCAACAACATTAATAATAATATTAATAATTCTAGTGCATGTTTTTAAAAAAAATGTAGTTTTTTAAAGCGTGGATAATTGTTTTGTTTTTAATATCTCTTCAAAGAAAAAGTGATTTGTGTACTCCTTTATTTTTGTAAACAAAAAAACAAGACACCAATTTGTACTCCATATTCGTGGAAAGTTCTGGTTGACAAAACAAATGCAGTGCTGATGATGATAGCAGCTCAGATGAAGCGGACAAGACAGGTTTGGATTGTAAGTGGAAGAACCCGTTTAGAAAAATGCAATATTTGAAAAATAAATGTGTCTGAATTCATGCAAAATGCTTGGGGTTATATTAATAGCAGAAACATATAGAGCATATATATGTCACATTTGAAAATAAGGTTTACTAACAAGGTTAATAATAACAATACTTTGATTAATTCGACTTAGTCTCTATTTCAGAGGTCGCCTTTTGAAAATAAACCACTAACTATATAAACTAATCCGGCATATGTTTTACACAGCGGTACTAGCTGCAACCCAGTACTGGGAAACACCCATGCACTCTCTCATTCACACATGCACTCATATAAGGCCAGTTTATTCAATTCACCTATAGCACATGTCTGCATGAACCTTGAGCATCCGAAGGAAACCCCCATAAACACAAGGAGACCATGCAAACTCCACACAGAAATGCCAACTGACCCAGCCGGGACTCGAACCAGCGACCTTCATGCATGTGAGGCCACCGTGCCGCACTGAACAGGACAGCATTTATGAATCGGTTTAACAATACATTATCCAAATTCATGCTTATCAACATTAGTTAATGAACTTTGAGTGAACTAACAAGGAACAACTTTATTTTTGATGAACTAACATTAACAAACATGAATAAAAACCGTAATGAATGTATTGTTTATTGTTGGTTCATTTTTTTAGTAAATACATTAACTAACATTAGCTAATTTAACTTTATTGTGAAGTGTTACTGAAATATAAGAAATCATTGTTAAAATGTCTTATCAGTGTCAGGGTTTTGTTTATGACTGTAATTGTATAATTATAAAGATTATAATATAACTTGCATCCAGCCACGTATCACTTTATACAGTTACCTATTACTTTCACATTCACAGTTTAGGAAACAAAATTCAGTGGCATCTAAAACAACTAAAACATGACAGAAAAAAAGAGAGTGTAAACAGTTTAAGTGCTGACGGTGCTACTTTTGCCTTGGCAGATAATTAAAAGTAAACTAAACCCTCCACAGTTCATTTCCTCCTCTACACTCACCGGCCACTTTATTAGGTACACATTACTAGTACTGGGTTGGACTTTTTGACTTCAGAACTGCCTTAATTCTTTGTGGCATAGATTCAACAAGGTACTGGAAATGTTCCTCAGAGGTTTTGTTTCGTATTGACATGATAGCATCACACTGTTGCTGCAGATTTGTCGGATTTTATCCATGATGGGAATCTCCCGTTCCACTACATCCCAAACGTGCTCCATTGGATTGAGTTCTGGTGTCTGTGGAGGCCATTTGAGTACAGAGAACTGATGACATGGTCAGCAACAATACTCAGGTAGGCTGTGGTTTTGACACAATGCTCAATTGGTACTAATGGGCTCAAAGTGTGCCAAGAAAATATCCCCCACACCATTACACCACCAGCAGCCAGAACTGTTGATAGAAGGCAGGATGGACTAAAGCTTACATGTTGTTGACGCCAAATTCTAACCCTTCAGAAATCGAGACTAAACCAGGCAACCAATCTTCTGTTGTCCACTGTTGGTGAGCCTGTGGAAATTGAAGCCCACAGAACTGCTGCTCACTGAATATTTTCTGTATTTTGGAGCATTCTCTGTAAACCTAAGAAATGGCTGTGCGTGAACATCCCAGTAGATCAGCAGTTTCTGTAATACTCAGACCAGCTCGTCTGGTACCGACAACCATGTCACGTTTAAAATCACCTCTCTTCCCCATTGTGATGCTCGGTTTGAACTACAGCAGATCGTCTTCTCTAATGGTTCTCAAAGTGGGGGTTGGGACCCCCCGAGGAGTCACGGGACAATGAAGGGGGGTCGCCTGGTGATTTCCAGAATTACCATATTTTATTCATAACCTACTGAAAAGAAAAAATATGTTTATGGTTACTTTATATGGTAACACTTTACAATAAGGTTCATTAGTTAATGCATTTACTAACATGAACTAATCATGAACAACACTTAATTAATTAATCATTATTGAACATTTACTAATGCATTATTAACATACAAGTCCATGCTTGTTAACATTAGTTAATGAACTAACATTGAACAACTGTATTTTCATTAACTAATGCTTATTAACAGGAATCAATACTGTAGTAAATGTATTGTTCATTGTTTGTTCATGTAAGTAAATGCATTAATTAACATTAACTAATGAACCTTACTGTAAAGTGTGACCCTTTATACTATATAGTTACTAAAGTAGCGTATAGTTACTAGTTCTATTGGATTGCGACCTCTGAAGTTATTACATAATATTAAAGACTGCAGCAGATTGGTTTTATGGCACCAGGTTAAACTTGGCCCATTTACAGCACTCACATAAATTTATATATATATTTTTTAAGAAAAATAGAATTGGGCTATTGGAGTGTGCGCGCCAATACATGCAAGGTTTCTATATTTCTAACTACCTTGAAGGATATTGGGGGTCGCGAGTCACTGCAATTTTGAAGGTTGTGGGGTAAAAGTTTGGGAACCCCTGGTCTTGACCATGTCTACATGCCTAAACGCATTGAGTTGCTGCCATGTGATTGGCTGAATAGAAACTAGTGTTAACAAGCAGTTGGACAGGTGTACCTAAAAAAGTGGCCGGTAAGAGCATTTACATTCATTGTCATTCATATAAAAGACTGAAAAAGAAAACAACACATTTTTATTCTTGCTGAGAAACGATCTTTGTGCTCTTCCCAAAACTTCCATAACATGATGACCACAATCAGGTATTAGAGATATCGAGACACACCCAACTCGGCTATTTATATAAAGTCTGTATTATTATCTGTTATAACCACAATAAAGGCACTAATAAAAGAGTTGTTTGTCAGAGTTCAATCTTTGAAAAGGACTCTTGATGCTTTTGTTAATTCGTAGACCCATTAGTTGTACACCATTAAAGCAAAAAAATAAAACATTCAGACAAAATGATCACAAGTCAGCTTTTAAAATGCATTTATTTTGGGTCACTTCTGCAAGTAAGGACGTCCCAAAACAAGAGAGATAATATGAAAGAGGCTGTCCTGAATAAAGTATTGAGGGATGAGAGGGGCATTTAAAACAAGAAAAAGAAGCAAGGTATGGTTATAGGAAACAATAAAAGGGAGGAGTTTGAAAATAAGGAAGAACTTTGCTTCAAGGCAGGACAAAGGTTGATGTACATTGCCTTCCCGTCATGGGAGAAAGGAGAATTGGCAATAAAGCAGGTCATCATCAGTCAGAAGAAAGGGAACAGAGACTGATAAACACCAGAAACTGAGAGTTTAAACAGGTTAAAAATATCAGCTGGAAACACTGTAATGCCAACATGACAGGTTGTTTCGATTAAAGACAGTTTTTTGAATGCAGGCGTTAAATAGGACATTGCAGTGTGACAAAAGTGCTGTTTACTCTGGACACATACTGGCTTGATCATGGAACTGGTTTTGGCTTTTGCATTGCTGTGTGTGCTTTCTGTATCGGTAAGTCACTCTTACTCTATACAGCTGTTATTTGTGGTTGGTGTTAACGGAGAGTGTCCTGATTTGGGGGTCAGGTTGTAAAACCTTTAGACAGGCATGACAAAGAGGTTTCATTTTCAGGACAAAAACACCTGTGATCGATACTAAATGGAGCTTGAAAAAGTGAATGTAAAGAAAAGCTCTGTTTATAAAGACTGAATACAAAGAGAAACCAAAGAGTCAAGTGTAATTCTTCTTGTAAAGCAAGTAAATTATATATACTGTATATAAAGTGCTCAGCATATATAAGTACAGCCCTCAAAAATCTATCTTTTAAATTAATAATTTAATAGGAAGCTATACAATATTATATTTGTGCCTATACATTTAATTAGTCAGTACTGAAGCCAAATCTGGAGCTTATCTTACAAAACAACCAGTGTTGGGGAGTAACTAGTTACATGTAACGGCATTACATAAATACAAAATAACAGTTTTACAAAATAACAAAATAATTATTACAAAATAATTTGTTACAGTTACTGAGAAAAAACGTGTAATTAAATTGCAGTTACTTGTGAAATGTTAATGATTACAAATGGGTTACATCTACAAATTTTCTTTAAAAATTTGGGATATGCTGAATAATATTAGTCTGTTGCTTTGCCGGTTTTTGATATGCATGTTGCCTTCTGCTAAGGCTGTTTATTATAGCGGTGCTATTTTGATGCTTTTGATTTGCGGTGCTACCACGGGCGTAAATCCCAGGGGGAACATGTCCTAGGTATAAATGCTTGAAAATGATTTAGGTGGAAAATATCCATTAGATACTTAAAAGTAATCAAAAAGTAATCAAATGTAGTAGATTACTTTACTTTTATAAAGTACTTGAAACATTACATTTTAAAGAGGGTAATTTGTAATCTGTAATCTATTACATTTCCAAAGTAACCTCCCCAACACTGAAAATAACTTACGATAATGGTCCAAAAAACTAGTACACCCACATTTATTTGTCATAGAAAAATATTAAATACAAATAAAAATGGAAAAATCAAGAGAAGCAGGTTGTAATTTATTTTTGCAATATTTTGCTATATTTAATTTTTTAATATGTTTGATGACTAAAATATTATTTTAATGAATATATCTGTTTTATAAATCAGTTTTGTTTAATTAAATCAAAATACATTGCCTATATTCACTGATAAATTGATAAAAATATTCATTTTCAAAATGGTGTGTACTCAATTATTTTATATACCTATAAAAGGTATTTTGATGTTGTTGTTGTTGTATATACAGATTATTAGAGCTTTAAAGATTTGGATATCTTATCAATAACATAACACGCAATAAACATTATACAAGGGCTTAACAATCTGTGGTCAATGAAAAAACTAAAGAGGATTTATGAGATCAATTTTGCTTTAATCTAATTGTGTTTTTTGTGTGTGGTATATAAACATATAAGTAAATATGAAACTGCTTAATTTGAAAAAGAGCCAGAAATAAGAACTAATGGAGGTATAAGAAAATCATAAACAAGATGTTTTTGACAATTACAAGGGAAATAGGCTAAAACCAGACTAATACATGGTATAAGTATCATAGGGGCTTGTGTCCCAATTCAGCAGCATTCCTCTGCTACATCCATTATGCTACTGTATATAATAAATCAGCATTAAGGTGCCACAAATTTGGACTGTTGTGTGTTTGAAGCATCCTCGTATACAGTTGTAATGACATTATGTGGCTTTTGTGATTTAATTGGTTATGAACATGGCAATGTTTCTGTCTTTTGTTTATTACAAACATGCCCTGTTTTAAAATGTTTTAAACTTGTAAAACTCTTAAGGTGCAGCTGATCACAGAGAGTTGGAACAGATCTTTTAATCCTAGTTTCTTTGCAAATCCTGTTTTGTGGACATGTTTATAAGTGTGGTCACATTTTAATTTGATGGTCTGTTTGTTGAATTTAAGTTACATTGCATCTACTGTACATGCAAACTAATTCTCATTAGATTATAACTGTTAGGTTGGGGTTAGAGTTAGTGTAAGTTGACATGTACTTGCAAAGTTTTCTATAAAATTAGTTAGATGTCTGTTGAAGGAGCAGTATCAACAGATATTGAGCAGACAGTCTACTAATACTCAAATGGACCATCAAAATAAAGTGTTACCAAACATGTTACTATGAAGCCATGCTAATAAACACCTGTCAGTCAATATTGGTGGGTGGGGAAAACCACACTCCTACGCTACGTCACTTAAATTATAATTTTAACATCAGGAATTTTTTTTAATTAGACTTATTGTCTTTATATCACTCCAATATGACTGTGGACACTCTATACCTAAACACAGTTCTGTGTAAACAGCTTTATAAAAGTTGATTTTCGAAAAAGTTTTGATTTTAAGTGGTTTTAACAATTTTGAAATGAATTGAAAATTTGGGAGAACCTGCTTTATTTCTGAAATTAACAGAACCTTGATGCAGTCAGTGTTGTTAAAATAATCTCAATAGGGGATGTGAGGGGCAATTAAAAAGACAGAAGTGAATTATATTAGTTAGATAAGAAAAAAATGGAGGCGTTGCAAAATAAGGAAATACTTTGCTCAAAGGTGGGGCAAAGGCTGGTGTAGTTACATTTTTCTCTTTAATTCTATTTAAATCCTTTTTACATCTAACCACACTTGAACAGATAAACACACAGATCTTTTTGAAAAGGCCCATTTTTTAGCAAACCTCAAAAACCTAAGAGTTGTTTTACTTGGGATCTCTGCCGTTTAATGGTAGCTTGTCTTAGATTGCCCTGTGTGCAATGGCAAGAAACTAGAATCAATTAGATTTTATGTCTTTGTCAACTAAAACATTCACTGATCTAGTGAGTGATTTTTGATGTCATATAAAAATAGTATTGTGGTGTTGATTGCAATGTAGCAGAATGAGAGCCAGTAGAACATTGGTCAGGTTTTAAAAATTCATTCAACATCTGAATCACTTAAAACCCACAGACAACATGTGGATTCAGTGTATCAGTCTCAAAGATGGTGAGAACATTTCTTGCCACTGTGTGTGCTGGGAGATGAGTACTGTATGATTCTCACTGTAAAAATACATTAGAAACTCAACATTTACAATTACAATATGTATTAAAGTCAAAAATATGTGCCAGTCGATTAAGACCAATATGCAAATAACTGTGTACACATATACAACACAAGCCTGAGGAAAACTGCTGGTATGGTGAATTCAAATGCAGATGTGTGGGAGAGCAGGGCTGAATCAGCCCACAAGATTAATGAAGTAAACAAGAGAACACCATCCTTTAAGTTTCAAGACAGTCAGTGCAATCACATGGACACTAATACTTAATTTTACATACTTGATTTTAATAGGACAGTCACACTTTACAATAAGGTTTTACTAATTAATATTAGTCAGTGTGTTTACTCATTTGCTAATGCATTATTAAAATCATGGGCGTCACGGTGGAGCAGTGGGCAGCACGATCGCCTCACAGCAAGAAGGTTGCTGGTTCGAGCCTTGGCTGGGTCAGTTGGCATTTCTGTGTGGAGTTTGCATGTACTCCCCATGTTCACGTGGGTTTCCTCCGGGTGCTCCGGTTTCCTCCAAAGTCCAAAGGCATGCGCTATAGGTAAATTGAATAAACTAAATTGGGCGTAGCTTATATGTGTGAATGCAAGAGTGTTTCCCAGTGTTGTGTTGCGGCTGGAAGGACATCCGCTGCGTAAAACATGCTGGATAAGTTAGAGGTTCATCCCCTGATTAATAAAGGGATTAAGCTGAAAAGAAAATGAATGAATGAATTTTTAAAATTAAAATTCATGCTTGTTAACATTAGTTAATGCACTGTGAGTGAACTAACAATAACCTACTGCATGTCCATTAACTATCTTGAACAAATAGTGTAATAAATGTACTGTTCATTGTTTGTTTATGTTAGTAAATGCATTAACTAACATTAACTAATTCAATTTTATTGTTTAGTCATAATCGTAGTACACAAAATGAATCAAGACATGTTGAGTTATTTCTATTTTAGTTGCAATATTGAAGTACAGTACACACATGTAAACACCTTAACCAACTATTACCATAGTGTAGGACATTTGTTACGCACCGTCTAGGAATGGTGCACGACATGAAAGACAAAACATCGAAGATGAAGTCAAAGTTTTATTGGGGTTTGAATTCGGGAGCTGACAAGGCCAAAATAACAAACAAAAATTCCTTTATGTTAGATCTCTAACTAACTTACCTGATCAAAAAGAAAAGAAAGTAGAATTCACTACCCTAACTACCTAACCCAAAAACAGAGGTCAAAAGGTTTTACAAAGAAAATGGCGTCAAACTCGTTACTATCCCTATACTATCACCACATTTTGAAACAAGATAGGCCATACACACAAGGCTGTATGACAATGTATTCTCTACACCTAGCAACTCAGTACAGGACAACAGTCACACATGGTTTCCATTCAAAGATTTCTTTCCATTCATTTGGGGTGTTGAAATTAATTGCTACTTCAAAGTACAATGATGCAGAGCCAGACAATTCAGCATCAGTTATTATGTTATTATTTTATTGTGACATTATCATATGCACTGAGTTGCGTTGGCTTATTAGAGAGAGGGAGGCAGTTGTTAGTAATTAAAGCTACTTAGAAAAGAAGATAACTGTGCATAATTTGTTGCTAAGTTGCTAAGAGGTATGTTTCCTTTCCTCTCCTAGCAGTGATCCTTGTGGATCCAGACATGTGCATGTCTGCAGAGCGAGCTTTCTCCACCGTGTCTATCATGGATCAGCTGTGATAGCTGAAGCTGTTCTTCAGTGTCAGCGTCACTGCTCTGTGAACAATGCTGAACATTAAAGCCAATCACAGCCCTTTCTGTTGAGCGCGTGAACAATGACCAAATATAGACGTTTAAGAACTTGATCGACAATGCTCAAAAAGCAAGCTGGATTAATATTTACATTTGTTTGTTTGCTTAA